CAAGATAGACTTCCTCACTATCTATACACAGATCCGGCCGAGAGTCTTCACGCAGCAGAACATCCAGGCAGGTTTTCAGGCGACAGGCCTTGTCCCTCTCTGTCCTAAGCGTGTCCTATCGTCGCTTACAGTTGTCCGCACGCCATCTCCACTACAGACAACTATAGATAATAACGCCGTAACGCAGGCAGAAACACCGCATACAGTAGCTCAGCTTCAGCAGCAGGTGCGCTATCTCCAAGAGCGACTACACCGGCAGTCAGAGAGTCCAACAAGCATTGCTATACGCCAGCTTGCTAAGAGCGCTCAGCTTGCAATGCAATCAGCAACAATACTCGCAGAGGAGAATAAGAAGCTACGTACAGTCAATAAGCGCCAACAACAAAAGCAAGACCGGCGCCGTCAATATATCGCCTCTGGCGGGGTGCTTCAGGTGCAGCAGGCTCAGCAGCTTACTGCAGAGGCAGAAAGGTTGGTCATGGGCAGTGACCAGAACCAGACTGGTGAGCGACGCCAGCGCGCGCCGCCAACGTGCACGAAATGCCACACTGTAGGACATACTCGGACGTCATGCAGGACTAGATCATGAATTATATCTCTTAATTATCTCCAAAAATATTACGTTGTTGTGGCTCAATTGCGTAAAACGTCGCGTCAATTTTGGTGGGGCGGCCAGCTTACTGATACGGCCAGCTTACTGATAGAACACGTTAGCAGCTGAGCTTTCGCATGCTGAAATAATAGGACCGATACCTTTACAAAGCGACATCGTCGCGCCAGAGCTTTACTGCCATAAGGGAAGAGAATTATGGCTCCAACCTTCAAAGTGGACGCAACATTGATGAAGTGCGCATTTCCGAGAGTGGCGTGGTATTGGTGGGTTAGCAGGCGGGCCGTTGGTAAGATCGTTGGACAGGCCCCAATAGCGATAGTATTTGCGGATCCCCTGTAAATCAGCAATCATGTTGTTGGTGTCAGCCGGTGTCCAAAGCAAGAAGGCGCATCGCCGAGTGGGGCAGTGTCGCGCTAGTTGGTTGTCTCGTGGATGATCGTCAAAGCTCTGGACCTAACAGAAAGGCGATCGCTGCCTCACTAGATGTGCATACAACGCCTCGTTGACACAAACGGGCACATGCCTCGATTTTCTATACATATATCATCTGCTAGGGAGTTCACTGAAGGTGCAGCCTTCTACACAATCTCAGACGCCCTCGGAGATGGCCCATGATCATGCTTTCTTTCTACGCCAGCACAGTGTATTCAATGTGTATACATTCATCATTCTTACATCGCTATTTTTTTCGACAAATTTGGCGCATTTAACAAGCCCGCCTGGCACATGGGTATCCCGCAACATCCAACCCCTGCTGGAAGCACTATCCCTAAAGCGAGACTGGCAAGGTCTGGGCCCTCAAATGTCTCGACTGCTTCAAGTACCTGTAAGCATAACCAAGAGGTGAGATTCGATCAATTTCATTTTCTGGTTTTCACATGTGTCAGAGAGTGTGCTTGTTTGGTCCACAAGTCATACATTGTTTTTGTTTCATGACCAGATTCCTTGAGCCATCAGGTCTACAGACTGTTACGTCTTCCAAAAGGAATTTTGGTCCAGCCTATTTTTATCTTCAATTCACAAACCTGGCAAACCATATTGGACGAGAAGCCATTGGACCATGGATCCGATCTCAGATAAGGTTTCTTGGCTGCCATTCTCAGATTCGAGAACCGATCTATCAATTGTCAGACATCACGCACAGGCGATGTTGCTTTTCCTATATGGTTGTACCATTACAACGAGCTGCCCCTTAGCACGAACAGTGGAACGTTTACAAAGCATACGAAAGAATTGCGCTGATTTTGACACTCCAATCGCGGTCATGAAGTACTGCTTGTACCCCAACCCAAGCGATTCCTAGTTTGTGGGCAGCGTTTGAAATGTGATTTATTTATTCCCAAGTCTTCTCATTTCAATAACCTGCTCTTAGCCATATTTTTACAATGTTTTCTTACCGCCATCTATATCAACTACTATGCATTCTTACAGCAATTTCTAATGCACATAACGATAGTGAAAAACACATCGGCCCAGGATCCCGCGCCAAGCTCGCTCTGTCAGCTCTCCAGACATGGTACAACGAAACCACAGGCCTCTGGGAAACTACAGGATGGTGGAACGCAGGAAATATTGTCACAACGTTTGGTGATTACGCAAAAGCGTTTCCTGAGGACGCGGACTTGCAGGCTCTAACGAGGGATGTCTTCTCGAATGCACTTGCTCGTGCACCAATCATGAACCCTCAACCGGGCTACGAAGATGAACCATCAAACAATACAACTGACAATCAAGATGGTTCGATGCATATTGATAGTGGTTATACGAAGGAACTTGATCCGATAACCTACGAGCCCCATTGCAAGTTCCCGCCGGATTGGAAAGATGGAACTAAGAACATCTCAACCGCATACGCTGCACATCATATTGAGAGTCCAGACCCATACGACTGGCTTGACGGCTTCTACGATGACGATCTTTGGTGGGCGCTGGCTTGGATCAATGCTTACGATGTTACCAACCACCAGCCGTACCTTGACCTTGCCGAAGGCATCTTTCTCGCAGTAGCAAAGACATGGGGCACTTATTGCGGTGGCGGCATATACTGGAGCTGGAAAAAGAACTACGTTAACGCCATAGCAAATGAGCTCTTCCTCAGCACTGCAGCGCATCTGGCTAATCGGGTTGAGCATAAGAAAGAGACGTACCTTGATTGGGCGATGAAGAGCCATGACTGGTTCTTCCAGAGTGGAATGATCAACATCAACGGTACTGTCAACGATGGTTTAACAGAAGACTGTGAGAACAACAACAAGACGGTCTGGTCGTACAACCAAGGCGTGATCCTTGGCGGCCTCGTCGAACTCCAGCGCGCTGCCTCTCCATCGGAGAGTGACTTTCTTGACGCTGCATACCACATTGCGCGAGCAGCCATTTCTGCGCTCACGGGCTCAAATGGAGTCATTCACGACGTTTGTGAGCCAGAATGTGGTCTTGATGGTGGACAGTTCAAGGGCGCCTTTATGCGAAACCTGGTCCGGCTATATCAAGCATATCCAGCGGACATGCTTGCCGCGACAATTCACCTAAACGCCGAATCGATCTGGAATTACAATAGGGAGACGGATGAAGGACTTCCGTTTTTCGGTGTGGACTGGGATGGCCCATTTGTCGATCCTGCGGATGCCAGCTCGCAGAGCAGCGCCATGGACGCGCTAGTTGGTGATGTAGTCACGGAGTGGGTATTTAGTATTGACAACAGTGGGACTTAGTTATGAAGAAATACTTTCTCTTTCCATAGAAACTTTCAATGATTTGTCGTCTATTTTTGCTCCTCCCCCTGTTCAATCACGATTTCTTTCGCTCCATTCAAAAAGTCAAACTTGCCGACATCCACACCCTTCATCCTGAGAATGCCATATGCAGTTGTTATATGGAACCTATATCGTAATTAGTAAATATCAGTCTAGCCTCTCCCACCAGTTATATCTCTCGTCTCAGAAGTCTAATTCACTTACCACATATTCGGATGCGCAAACTTGTACACATAATCCAAGGCCGGCAACCTTATCTGCAAGCCACTTGGAAACTTCATCAGCACCTCATTCGCCTCTTTGCCCTCAAAATCGGCGGGCTTGAAGCTTTCAAGATACTTGAGTGTCTTCTCGATGCGAGCCTCCAGTTCCTCGAACGTCTTTTCATCATCTGGCAGCGTGATGGTTTCGAGCGCTGGGTTGATGCGGGGCGGCATGAACTTGACGGCGTCGGTCAAGCGGTAGACTTGGAACCGGAAGTCCTTCATATCTGGGTGTAGAGATGCTGTGAGGAAGGTTTCGGGGTCGATGTTGTTGGAGAGGGTGTGTTCGTGGCCTTTTTTTATGAAGGCTAGGGTGTTTTTCATGGCGCTGATGGCGGGCGCGATGGCCATGGTGTGGAAGTTTAGAGAAGCCATTTTCTTCACGTGAGAGAGAATGTGTGTGTGTGTGTGTGTGTGTGTGTGTGTGAATTCTTGAGAGAGAGAGAGAAATAGAGATGCTGTTGCCTGCTGTCGAGATATCCTATTAACTTTGCGAGCTAGCAAGCTGTATTTATGTTCCCTTCTCTCCTTGCACCCACACCCGCAAAACGACTGACTAGTCGGTCGGCCGATCGACCCGAACAACCACGTTGCAGTTGTTTTCGTAGCCTCCACCATAAAACTTGATTATGCGTGAATGAGGCGCGATAGTTGTGACTGCTGGAGACCTGGATTACAAAGCTGGTGGGCCTGATGGTGTAGAGATGAGCGCTCGGCCAATCGGAGCCCGGAGCGATGTGCCGCGAAAATGCAACTTACGAGCCGCTACTGCAGAGTAAATAGAAGTAACCTGATGTGGTGTTTGATTACAAACAACATGATAGTTGTAGCATCATGAGGTTACGCACCGCGGGTGATTGTGTGCGCCGAGTGTCGAGATGGTGGAGCAGTGCCACGCGGTTTGGTCCTTACAGTCTCTCTGGGGCGTAAAGGAGGTATACGGTGGAGGCATAGAACGAAGCTATTGTGGCTCTTGCTAGTTCCAGGGCAAACTTTATAATTGTTGTGGTATTCTTGGCATGTTTGCGAGAGGTTTGAGATATTGCAAGGCAGACGCGGTGTATGCATTTGTCATCCAAAATGACCCAGTCGATACTTCAGGTGACAAAAAATTAAGTTGATTCGCTAGTTTTCATAGCTGCCTATTATGTTCAGCATTTCGATATTGATTGGTTCAACTTGAGTTGTCTTGGATTCATTTCCGTATCAAGGAAATCTTACAATATTTTTCGTCACGCAGCTGGTTCAGGTGTGGTCATGGAAGTTCAAAGACTTTATGGCTGCATCTATGTAACCTGTGACTCGGGTTTTTTTCTTCAGAATCTACGCGATGTTCTTCGCTAGACTGAGCTGGCAAAAGCATAACGCAACTATTGCATGTCCGAATACTGCTTACCAAGCGCACCTGGCACTGTTGCTTTTGTTTCGGAGTTTGCTCTAAGTAAGTCTAGAGCATGAGCTAACCGTATATACATCGATATAAAGATTACCTGAATTACCATTTCCAAGAGCTATTTTCTCCGCAACAGCGATATGAGCTTTCCCTGCTGCCAATGCGCATATTTCGTAAAGTCCTGAGGTTGATATGGGCCGCTTAAAATATCGATCAAATCTTCGCTGAAATTAGGATATGCAGCATCAATATGGTATATCGTTTGATCAATCAAGTACTTATTGTAGTAGTACTCCAGTTTGATATGGTTAATCCTGTTGCAGACTCTCACGGCTACTTTACATGTTCTCTACGTGCAAAGCGAAGAAGTACCTATTTCGTGGGAAAGCTTTCGTTCTAATAAGATATCGTAATTTCGAAAGTTATAGCAGATCTTTCCACTTATTTACTCGTGACCAAAAACTCACTCTCCAAGAAACTTCTATTTTTCAAGTCACGGAGGCCCCTTCACATTCTCGTAACTATCTACGTCCAAGTGTTGCAAAATGCATGTAGCAGAGACGCGCTCCCTTAGTTTAGCGAAGAGAGGACCGATCCTTCGGTGTATGGTATTATCTAAGACTAGCGCTACGGGTGACCGTTTGTTGGAGACCCTGCCGCTTAGTACTATTCTACTATGCAGTTTGCGCTAAACCGAACGAGAAGATGAACTCGTCTACCTTTGTGCTGCATCATCCCATCACGCTGCGATTTCTGCTACACATCACTATCGTCAAGCGGATTTTGTCTTAATTAAATCCACTTTCCGCTTGGCAAGGCACCCCGGTAGCCACGTCTCAGGATCCGTCGCTGCCGAACGTGTGTCGGGACCTCTTTTCTCCATTCGCACGTCCGTAAATGTCGCAGTCTCACCCGGCTCGCTCTACCCAGTTCTTTTACACTCACATCCCTATCCGTACTCAACCCCTAATGTATCTCGACACACCATAGTATACGGTGAGAACTCCTAGAGCGCTGGATTCTATGGATAGCCAAGTCCCTGAGAATCCTCCGAGAACGGCTCCTCCTGTTCGTCCGAAGAAAGACCGACAAGATGGCGCCCTCAATCGTCTCAACACTTCAAGCCTTCCACAGTTGTTGGACATGGACAACAGACCGACCTTTGTGCTCGACATGGAAAATTATGTTTATGGAAATCAACTAGTGGTGCGACCAATATTCTGCAATGCTGCGTTGAGGATGCAAGAGCAACTATTTCTCAAGGTCATTGGCTCTGCACGGGAAGATCCTGAAGATAGCGACCGTGGCGCAAACTATGAAGAATTCCGAAAATGGGCAACAATTATCAGTAAATTTCGGGATTCCAGAGATATATTCCCATTGACGATGGAGTACGCCAAATTCATATGGACGGTGTTCTGTATCCAGCCCAACTGGAAAGTGATCACCGGCCATCCGGTCTTTCGCAACGAAGATATCCCAGGAAGGGGTCCGCTGTCGGCGTCTGCACCGGCATCTGAAAAGAAGTGGTATGGCGTACGGGTGAGAGACGACAAGAAAGCTTTGGCTTCTGCTGCAGCTACCCCGAAACATGATATAGTTGAGAATACTAAACAACCCAAATCTCCACAAACAAACATTGGTTTGGAGGAGGAGAAAAATCGCATATCAAGCGTCTCCGCCGTTGCCCTGTCAGCATTTGAATGTTCCGTACCCGACTGGACAGTTGCGAACCCTAAAGGCGTTCTTTCAGAACATTTAACATTTGTAAGAAGTATTGACTGGTCAAAGACTCCCTTGGGCGCTATGAATACATGGACGATTCAATTCCGAGAAATCATCTGCTTAGTCATGCGGAATCCTCATCCGTCATCTGTTTTTTGGGGTGAGGACTTGACTATGCTCTACAATGAATCTCATAGGGATATTATTGCGGGCGACAAGCACCCTGCTTTGATGGGTACTGGTTTCACAGGCCCTTTTCACGAAATGTGGGGTTCAGTTCGCACTACAATGCGCGAAAGCGCTCGGACTGGCCAGGCTCAGCTCAACCTCAATCAAATGTTACCAATCATACGGCATGGTTATCTGGAAGAGGCATTCTTCACGTGGTCTTTTGTGGGTATTCAAACTCTGACCTGCTCGGTTATATGCCGCTTACATGATTATAGGTTCCAGTTTTTAGCGGTACTGACCGCATTCTTGGTTGTAAGTATCGTTGCGACAGCACCATACAATCTTATCTGCAGAATGAATGCGATGGCGACGGCATCAAGTGCCCAAAAATCCATAAATATCTCAACCTAGTTCTCATTAAGCAAACATCATTGGATATGAAAAGTCTTACTGACTCATAATCGGAATCTAGTCTATATGAATGCATTTGATACGACTGTCGAATCGCTCAGAGGCAGGAGAATGGAATTGTTACGCTACTTAGGCGAGCGCCTGAACGCAACACGCACTGTAAAAGAATTTTGGGGCAGGGTGTTGGACGGTCTGACTCACAACGACTACGACGTGCCTTTCGCGCTCTTATACTCGATTGTCGATGCGGAGGACATCGACCATAGCTCTTTGGAATTGCCTAATACTAATCCGAGTTTCGTAAAGACTTGCATTATCGAAGGATCGATTGGGGTACCGAGAGGACATCAGGCCTGTCCTGAAAGATTTTCCTTGACGGAGAGTGATGATACTCTAATCTCAGCTTTCATTCAGGCGACGCGAACACTGGAACTTTTAATGTTACATGTGGACAATGGAACACTTCCGCAGTCATTACTTGAGATTGTTGAGTGGAGAGGATACAAGGATCCCTGTAGGGAAGCAATGATACTACCTCTTCGGCCAACAAACGCGGACAATGTTTGTGCGTTGTTGCTCCTCGGTATCAACCCTCGTAGAGCTTACGACAAAGAGTACGAATCTTTCACGTCCATGCTCAATCGACAGATTGCGACTTCGTTGGCATCAGTTCTTCTTTTTGAAGACGAGGTACGGCGAAGCAAGCGCGCAGCTGAAGTCGCTGCCTTGCAGCGGGAGGAACTCTCTCAGCAGCTCCAACTCCAGACCAGTCGGATGCGTCGAATGACCGAATTTTCACCTTTAGGTATGTGCTTGTTTGACGCTGAGGGGCGCTTATTGGAGGCGAATGACCGTTACTTTGAAATGACTGGAGTTTCCCATGACACCATTGGAGACTTCATGCCCGACGACGTGATGGCAGAGCAAAGCTTAGAGACTGCACAGAATATGTGGGATGGTAAGTGACGTCTGTACATTGCCTCTACTCCATAAGGTACACTAACGAAATGTCAACATCTAGAATTACTAAGAACCCACAAGTCGACCAGTCGGGAGCTCCAATATGCATGTCCCAAGTTTCAAGCAAAAGACATTAACGGCGAACCCATTGAATATTGGGTTCTTGCGTCTTGTCAGCCGGAGCTAAGTCCAGACGGTGAACTGATAAGCGTTATGGGCACCGTTACGGATATATCGCACCTAAAATGGGCCCAAGGTCTCCAGGAACGAAGACTACGAGAAGCAGAGGAGGCAAAGCGCCAACAAAACGAGTTCATCGATATTACATCGCACGAAATGCGCAATCCATTGTCCGCAATTCTGATATCCGCCGATGACATCGGAGATACTCTTAGTGTTCATCAATTCTCATGTGATGAGGATAGAAGCATTGCAAAAAGTTGCATTGAAGCTGCGAACAACATTGCTCTTTGTGTTCAGCATCAGAAGTTGATCGTCGATGACATCCTTACCGTATCGAAACTAGACTCTAACCTTTTGCGCATGACTCCCATTCCTTCGCAGCCTATCGCTGTCATTGAGCGTGCTATTGCTATGTCAGTAAATTCATTCTCCACTTGTCCCTAAATATGCTCCAAATTATTGACATTGCATTTAGGCTTCGTCCTGAGGTAGTGGCCAAAAGTATCGACCTTGAATTCAAGCCGCACTCAAGCCTGCAAGAACTCAACATCGATTGGGTAATGCTCGATTTTGGCCGCCTGCTACAGATCATCGTGAATCTCATCACCAACGCGATAAAGTTCACTCAAGACCGGCCAACACGCTCCATTGTTATCCACATTCGCGCATGCACAGAAAAACCAGATTTTGAACTTCCAAATGGCTTTGAGTTTGTCCCACAACGAACTAAACTTACTGATTGTGGCAATGGAGAGGACTGGGGCACTGGTTCACCGGTCTTCCTCTTGTTCCAGGTTCAAGATACTGGTTGCGGACTTACACCGGGACAGAAAAAGCTCTTATTTGAGAAGTTCGCTCAGGGATCACCACGCACACATGGGAAGTACGGCGGCAGTGGCCTTGGGCTATTCATCTCGCGGCAGCTAGCCGAATTGCATGGTGGGCAGATTGGTTGTACTTCGGAAGCAGGCGTCGGCAGTACATTCGGGTTCTATCTAAAAAGCAGACGAATGACGTCTGAAGACTGCCGCCTGCTCGAAGAACGCGCCAGAAAATCACCCAATACCGAAATCCCTGCATACTGTTTGCGTAACACCCCGCAAGCATTTTCTAGAATGCAAGATCAAACACACCCTAATAGTAGTATCCACGACAATCTCGATGAGCAAACCAACAAACCAACCCGACAACTCCACGTCCTCGTGGTAGAAGACAACCACCTCAACCAAAAAGTCCTTTGCAAACAACTCACAAAAGCAGGTTGCATAACCGCCACCGCCGACAACGGCGTACACGCCCTCAACCACATTGCCAAAACCCAGTTCTGCACCCCAGACGGCATACCGCTTTCTATGGTCCTCATGGACTGCGAGATGCCCGAAATGGACGGGCTCACGTGTTGTAGGAAGATACGCGAGATGGAGCAGCGCAAGCAGGTGGTGGGGCATGTACCGATTATTGCTGTGACGGCGAATATTCGCTGTGGCCAAATTGATGAGGCGAGGGCGTCGGGCATGGATGATGTGATTGGGAAGCCGTTTCGTATACCGGAATTGTTAGAGAAGATGAGGGGTTTGTTGGAGAGACTTGAAGGGGAGCAGGGTGTGAAAGGTTGATATTCCGTTGGAGGGTGTTTTTTCTTTTGAGGGATGGTACTGGAATTATGTCTCTTGGTTTTCTATTCTCTTAATATGCTTACCTATTATATTGAGGCATAGAGCTTTGTCAAATTCGACCGACCATTTTAGTGATTTCTCAGAGGTTATTCGGTTAAACTGACAGAGAGTTTTGTGCAAAAGTCGAAATATTTTCCAGATTCGCGGTGATATTGTCGGAGTGGCAAATGAAATAAGCACTCAGAGGTAGTTACAGTGAGCGGCAAAGTAAACGTGCATCATTTGATGTTTTTCATATTCCTTTCTTCATGCTACAAAGGCAATCACTATCATTAATCATCTCATTGGAACCTGCACAACTCCATCACGCCAATCCGTACATCGCTCGACTCGGTTTTCCCACCAGCCCTTCACTTCGTCGACGGATTCGGGCTAATAGTGTTATCGGGAAACTTGCGGAAGATATCGGCAATGTGGTCAATAGGCGCAGCCAGCATGCCCATTGGGCCCTCAAACAGCGGGTTCTCGCCAGCACTGGGATGACTCCTCGACGGCACAAACGCCTTTGTGCGCCCAAAGTTCTTCGCCAGACTCTCCGACGTACCCTTGTTATCGGGCTTCGCTAGTGCGTTCTCGAGAGCAGGTAGGTCGTCGGCTTCTTCCTCCTTGATGTGCTGGCCGAGGATACCCCAGAGTTCCTTGAGCTTGGGGACGTAGGCGGAGTCGGTGGCTTTCATATTTTGGAATTCTTTGAGGAGTTCCTTGACCTGGTGTCTCGTTAGTAATCATACTCACGGAGATTTAGGCGAAAAGAAGTAGACGAACCTGGTGGTGCTGCTGACGGTCCTTCTCGGCATGTGCGTGACCTTCCTTGCCAATGTACTTCTCCATGGCAGGGTAAATGAGTAACTCCTCAGCTACAGAGTGTCGGGCAAGCTCCCAAGTAAACTGGTTGCCGAATCGCGTCTTGTGGTCGACATCGTCTGAGTTGATGATTTCGTTGTAGTACGACTCGAGCTCACGGTGGTCCTTGATAATGACGTCTGAAATCGTCGACATGGCTGCGACACGGGCACGGAATGAGGCGAATTGGTTGTTTACTGTGACACGACTGATCTGAGGTCTGATAGCGGCTCTGGAGATGGAGGATACAAAAGTGCGGTGGAAGGACATTCTGAAGGAAAGAAGAAGTAGTAGATTGGAGGCACAGAGACGGGCTTTTAATATGTTGTTGATTGAGAGTGAGCAAGGGCGAGGGGTGAGTGTGCTATCTGACAGGGCTCTCCAGCTTGGCTTCTTCCATTGGCGCTTTTATTTTGCGAGAAGAAAAGTGTTTAGTTTGTGCGTCATTGTATCGCAACATGTTCAGCTGTGCAGTAATGGGGCCTTGGTGATTGGTGAGGGGGTGGACGCCGTTTGGCTGTGCGGGTGTGTGAGTTGATGGTTGCTTGACGTAGTGGAGATCTGGGGCTAGGAACACGCTTACTGCGTCTCAAATCGGAACCGTGCCTATTGGGCAGCATCACTTAAACGTCACTACAACACCATTGACACGGCTACTCCACTGTTGATACACAGCATGGCATTTCTTGACAAGGCACGTTATTGGGTGAAATGGGGGAGCTGTCGCAGCTGGCGAATTGGCTTTGACAGATTTTGATTTGCATCACCCCCAAATTGATTGGGGGCATCTGACTATACCATACCAAGGTATCGAGGCGCACCGTTACAATTGTGAATTTGCTCCGCGGCGCATGCTTGGGAACACATGTACGCGTCACGAGAATGGGGTAGCCACGGTCCTGGCAATTTAGAACAACCGAATATGGTGAGACGAGATTTGCTCCGTCATTCGCACGTCTTCGATGCAATACAACATGCGCATCTCGTAGATTCCGATTCCCATCTTCTCCGCTTGTTGCAAATCACGGTCCTTACGAAAGATTACATGTAAATGTATACGAATAGCCAATTATATCACTTATAATAGTCATCGGCTTGTTTGAGGGAACATATGGTATTCCAGCCATCTCCAGATATTAAGTTGCCTGTGGTTTTGTCAATAAACCTGATAGAAAGAAGCGGCCTAATGTCGAACGGAAGTTCTATTGAGTTTGAAAATAATAGTCTACCGATGGAAAGGAGAAAACCAGCATTTTATAGTGAACAAGAAAGAGAGAACGTAGTCTACGCTAAACGAGAAAGAAAAGAGACGATTATGAAAGAACAACCAAAGAGCAAAGAGAAGACATCCCCTCAAAATCCAACTATCCAGCGCGTGTCTGATCCAACATGTTGCCCAGTTAGACAACTCACATCCAAAACATAGTATCATCCAGCTCCTTCGCCCAAGGCCCCGGACCCCCCGAACGCGCGCGATTCCACTCCAAAACCGCGCGATTCAACACCACCTTCTCAATCTCGCTCTCCACAAACTTCTCATGCTCTCTCTCAACCGCAATCTCATCCGGCGACTTCCTCTGCACGCCCCTCCCCGGCTGCGGTACCTGTGGCACCAAATTCGCCTTCCTCCGCACCAAACGGCCCTGCTCCCTGTGCTTGATAGTACTCACGAGATTCGCGTAAGACTGATGTTCTGCGCTACCTCTGTCGGGACTGAACCAGCTCCGCAGGTACGCCCGACCGCGATCGCACAGCCGATTCGCATAGTATGCTGAAGGCGGATACGATACACCGAGCGTCGCCCGCGCGTACGTGTAGCAAAGCTTGTACATGAGTTCCTGGAGCTCTATATCTTTGATTCCGATTTCGTTTGCGATGACCATGTAGTGCGTTGGGATTGCTGTTCCCTTGAGACCGTAGTGTGATTGCAGGTAGAAATCCGAGTAGTGCGGTAAGGTGATTGCACAATCGACAAGAGTGCCTGTTCTACAGTTTCCGTTTGCAGAAGCGACAGAGGTGGGGAAGAAGCGGGTTGAGTGGCGCTTTACGGCAACGACGACGGTGATTTTGATATTAGCAATGCCATTGGCTTTGCAGGCGGAGCGGATCTGTGGTAGCTCTTCGTCGCGGACCTGGGCGAATTGCCCGGTACTGACGCCGTCGCGGTAGTAGAGGATTTTCTTGGGGAAGGTGTGGGTTGCGCGGAAGTAGGCCATGAGGCGTTCGGAGACCATGGGTTCGAGGTCGTCGATGATCTGTCGATACTTGTTAGCCGGTATCTGGAGATCGTCGATGGCATCTGAGACTTACCTCTTTCTTACAAAGCCTCTGCAGTCTCATAGAGCCTCGGAATTTGGCTGCGTTGGAATCGATGGAGCCAACCACAGCAGCGATTGAGGGACATCCAACCAATGAGCCACTGCCGGGGTGAGTGACGTCTGCCCCAAGGACCAGAGTTTCGTGCAACGAGGTCTTGATGCCTGTGTTGTCAAAATGAACAATATGATTGCTACCGCCAAACTTAAGATTCGCCTTCATCATGATGTTGGCCATGTACTGGGTGATGTTCTTATTAAGGCCCCTCGCTTTATATTTGGGGCCTTAGTCATGCAGAGAGACTGCAGAGCCTCATAACGATCCACGACGTCTTTGAAAGCAGAGTAAACTGGGATACTCTTGTTCTTCAAGAGAATGATCACAAAGTCAGCCCTAGGATGGCCCTGCTTCATGCTCTGGATGGATTCCTGGATCGTCGCCTTGATGGAGACGTACAGTACCCCTCGAAGGCCTTGGACGAACGCCGAGCTCAAGCATTTCGCACCGCTACAGACGTTGTATCGACTCAGGAGATGATTGAAATTATTGTAGATGTTCACCGTATCTTCTCTGTCCAGTTGTAAGCTAGCCTCAATGAGCAAAAGGTAATTGACTTGCTTCTTGCCAGAGTAGCCAGGAGAGTCGAAAAGCTCTTGAGTTTCCCAAGGTTCCATTGAGCCTTGTCATTTGGTCTTGCGTCAGGAGTTCCGGAGCCGTACGAAATGGTGAGAGCTCTCAACTGCGCGGATGGTATCTTGAGCATTGTCGGGTTGATAAGGAGTTGCGAACAACCAGGCTATAAGAATACATGTGTTAGTTTCAGTGCTTCAAAAAGAAATTGTGGAAATGGAACTTACGAGCGGCTGTTCTCCATCACGGGGATTGAGTCCGAGACTCTCCATTCCCTCGACCTCAACGAGACGTCGGCTGGTATCGGGTACATGCGCCGCCAGTTTCAGCATATTGTCGATCAGTTCCTCCGGAAGAAGTTTCTTATAAATTTGGTACGGCAGGATTCGCAGATATTCACGAGGGTAATAGACTGGCTCCCTCTCATTGCCATTCCTTGCCAAACACATTCCTCAGATGCTTTTCAACATGGATGTTATTCTTAGGATCTGTTGAATTTAGAAACCTCATGCTCGGATCGCTGAATTTCCTACCCATTTCAAAGACGGATTTGACGCGGTTATGGGGCTTGTTGAGGCGATTGATCTGGTACTGATTGTCTTTGTTCGGCAAGCGTTCATATTCAATGTACAAACGCAGTGTTTTGAGGAGCCGCACTCGCTCATCCTCAGAGAATGTGTCATCACTCAGGAACTCGCCAACCGTAATGGGTCTAAAGAACGCGTTGGTAGCAGGGTTGACGTTGAGGAAGATCTTCTGTATTCCTGGCTTGATTGTAAAATAGTAGCCTCGAATCGTACACAGGGACTTCAGAGAGCGCTTTCCGGGCAAGTCTACATAACCATCTTTGACAAAGAACTTGTTGCTGGATTGCTGGAAGACGCTTGAAGTCATGCTGCTGGTAATCGCAAGGTTGAGTGCGCTGATTATGGGGTTGAAGTTGAACTCTGGATCACTCTCCTGGTGACGTGCATCCATGTAGCGATACAGCCCATCAAGTTTAAGTTCGTGATGGAGTTTGAGGAAGAGTTGCACTCTCTCATTTCCATCTGCAATAGCCTTGGGCTGCCATATAGCGCCTGCTTGAGTACCATCATCTCCAAGGATAACAGGCTGATACCCAATCGTCTCATGAAGGTTCTTCCATGCAACAATTGTCTTGACATGATCTGTAGCATAGTATTGCTTGTTGTCTCTAAGCATACCCCATGCCTCTTCGGCGGCCTTGAAGATGTATTTGGCTTTGCGCTTGCTCTTCCCACCAGGAATCTTGAGAATTTCGTAGATAAAGAAGCGGGTCTTAGGCTTGAAGCGAACTTCAAAATGATTCGTGAGAACGTCCGACGATGCTTGAGCAAATGCTTTTCGGAGGGGAAACTCGGCTTTCTTCGCCCTGCTCAGGGCAAGCTCAGATTGGAATGCATTGCCTGGGCCAACTGGGTCTTTATCCGGTACATGGACAAATTTCGGCGCACACGTCTCCACAGGATCTGTCTGTGTGATGTCGCGAACCGCTCTCAGACCTTCGGTTGAGCGACCGATTGACCGAAGGATTCTATTCAGCATGACGTCTTCCTCTGTAACTGTACCCTTTACTGTATCCTTTACTGTATCCTTCGCTGCATCCATGGTTGCGTCCTTGGCTGAGCCCTCAGTTATATTCTGGGTCTGGTCCTCCAATTGCACTCGTGCTAAGACTTCCACGTTTGCATCTGTTGTTGCTTCTTCCGCCGGATCCTGATATCGTGGCTTCTTCGACTTGCGGAACTTGACAATAGTCTGACGAGCAGCATTTGCTTTGCCCGGACCATAGATCCTAGCGAGAGGCGAATCCATGGCAGTGGGTACGTTAAGTTTTGGACAAGCACCGTCGTATGCATCATGACCACTGGTACCGCAAATGACACAAGGGTCGTCATTCATGTGCCGACGCAGGGACGGCTCCGTCAGACGTTCGAAATCGCTCATCTTTTTGAAGCTGAGGGTACCCAATATGTAGGGTTGAAATCAAGAAAGAAATTGTATGTGTGATCTGAATGTAGAAGTAACTTGGGAAGATGGTGTAAGGTACTGGGAGTTCTCCGTGATGAAATACAGAGAGTAAAAACAACTTAACTATAGTTATACAAACATCTCAACGAGATATTGTTGACTGCTTCGTTTGTCACATAGCCACCCAAAAGTGAACTAGCAAATATTGTCTTGGTATACAAATTTTTAGTGAAAAAAATTCGCAATAGCCATAATGTACGTCAAACACACTTAGTAACACCCCACAAACCCGAGGCCAGCAACATAGATACCCTGTCTTCTGTTACAGGTGTTCGTGAACCGTTGAATCTGGTGGCACTGCCTGGTTTGACTTTGTTCGAAACTACCGCAAACTGCCTTCATCATACGGAAGTTGTTATAGGTAATTACGCAAGCAAATGTATGATGGCTGCCGCCCCACACGGCTAGGAATGAGCATTTATACCAGGATGCGTATCGGGTTTCCTTGAAAGTAAGGGAAATATGTCAGATAATAAGATGTTCAAAGTTTTTTTTAAAAAGTGGTATCGATTGCTGAACGGACCAGCCAGGAGCTTCCTCTGGAGCCACACCTGGGGACTCAAAATGATGTGAATTATGACTATCTACCTCTTTTTGTTCCTCTTCGCTGCCCTCTTTTCGCCTCTAACATCCTTCTTCAACCTAGCATCAACCATCTTATATTTGCCCTTGGTGCCCTTTGGTCTGTTCTTGATACCCTTGTTACCTCCTCTAGCCACAACAACACTGACCTTTTGCTTGGGCTTCTTCTTTGCAGCTCTCGACATTAACCGTGCAATACTCTGGGCCTTTTCCTTCTCTGTCATACCCTCCTCATCTGCTAAGAGAGCAGACTTCTTCTTGAGCTTCTCCAAGCGCTGGGCAGCCTTAAATTTCTTGCGGGCCTGTGCTTCACGGACCTTCTTAATAGGGCGAGCGTTCAGCGCGCGGAGCTTCTCTTTAATGGCTGCGGCTGCGGCTGCTGAAGTTGGGCGCTGTATCTTGGAATGTTTGTTCTCGTCGTCGAGGAACCAGTCGGGAAGACCGTCGACGTCACGATGTGAGTAACGGTTGAATGATTCATCCAGGAGGTCGTGTTTTGTTTTCTGACCGGTAGCCATCTGATGGGCCAGGGTCATGGCTTCTGCTGTGATGATGTCGATGTCTGGTTTGCCGTTTTTCATAGGCATGGAATCTTGTTCCCACTGTGTTTCGTCGCGCGCGACTTCTTCGATTTTGTCATCATCCTCATCAGAGGACTCGTCATCGAAAGCTACTGCAGGAGAAGCGGCCTTCTTACTTGTTCGGATTGACAACGTCTTCTCTGATGCAGAAGGTTGTGTAGCCGACTCCTCCTTCATTTCGGTATCGCCTTCAACATCGATGCCACTGTCGTCACCTTCCTCAAGGTCATCGAGCCCATCAATTCCCTTAAAAATGTCCTGATCAAAGAAACGCTCGGCACGCTTGGTAAGACCTCGCTTGGATTGTCCGTCGCGATCGAGATCAGTGATTAGCTCTTTAGGCCCTTCCTCTTCGTCGCTGCTCCAGTCACTGTCGGCGTCTTGTACAAGTTCTTCGTCGTCACTTTGTTCCTTGTCCTCGTCAGAGAAACCGTTCCATTCTCCGTCATCGTCCTGTTTCCTAGCGCGTTTTGCCCGGTACTTGGCATCGCGAGCAGATCTTTGCTCGACGTATTCGCCATACATAGCGTCAAGGTCTCGTTCAAGATAGTCTTCTTCTTCGTCGGTTTCAAGTTCTTCCTCAACCTCTTCCGGTTTCTCTTTCTCGACAATCTGCACCATCTTTCCTTTAGCAATCTTGTTAAGAGCACCGGCCTTATCAACGGCTTTCAAACCAAACATGGCGTCTTCGCCGGTAGGTCCAACCTGCTCCAAACCAATGTCAAACGGTGTGGCCATGTTCATTTGTAGTCGCGTAATTTCCTTCTGTCTTCGCTCATTTTCTGTGCGACGCTGTTTCTTTTTCGCCTTTGTATCCTTCTCCTTCAGGCGTTCCAACTCTTCCTGGATTTGCATCTCTTCGTCCATGGACTCGATCTCGGCAACCTCCTCGCCCTCTTGCGCTTCTTTAGCCTTGGCCTCATCAGCCTTGTCCTTCTTTGACGCAAAGCCAAAGATTTCGCGCACTTTAAGTCGCCAACGGAGAAGGCGCTTGAAGTCGGCTCGTCCCAAGACCTTGAGATCTGCGCAGCAGTCTCTGATTTCCTTTGTGGTTTCTGGAAGCTTGTCGATGGTGGCGATGGCAATGTCGCCGTTGGGCTTTTGTTCGAAACTCAGCTTATTCAGGCCACCGAGCATGGCAATGGGGTCGGTGGTTTGAATGAAGTCGGATACCGGAGCTTCCTTGAACTGTGTCCAATCTCCTTCCTCGTAACCCTCACGCTTCCTCTTCTTCACTTCGGGCTTGAACACCTTTGCTTCGTTGTTGGGCGTTGGATCTGCGAGCTCGGCGAAGACGCTGCGGGCATCGAGGAACTTAGGGTCAAGATGCTTTGGAGCCTTGTAGCCACGGCAGACGACGAAGATTTCGGCTGATACATTTCGGGAAGATGGCGGCTTCGTTGCCTCGACTTTAGTGAAGAGCTGGTTGAAGACCCAGAGTAGCGAGTTGTAGTCTTTTGATCTGAAGACCTTGGTAACAAAAGTTCCACCTTCGACCAAAAACTCAGTCGCCAGTTTCATGGATTGCAGCACAAGTTCGGCCTGGGTAAAGGCATCCTGGACCCACGCAGTTCCGACATTGGGGGCACCATCGTGAAGGACTGTATCGCACTTAAGATGCTTAAGGTGCTGGCGCAGCGTCGCTCGGCACTTGTCTGTTGTGATATCGCTCTGGAAGGTGATGCATCGCGGGATAGGCTTGATTGGGGCGAGATCGACGCCGACAATGAGGGAATTTGCGGGCATCACCTGGAGGTGTCAGTATGAAGTCTGGCGCATGGCTTCTTAAGAAAGAAAAATCGTACCTCGGAAGCGACTTGACACCATGATCCCGGCGCGGCGCAAAGATCAATCAAGACCTTGCTCTTTTCTAAAAAGTTGTACTTTTTATTCAGTTGGATCAACTTGAATGCAGCACGCGCGCGGTAGCCCTTTTCTTTGGCAAGCTTGTACCACTTGTCGAGACGACCTTTTCCGTGCTGGTTATATGTTAGCCATTGAGCGCTTCGTATGCCATATCATTCCTTGCGCACCTTCTTTTGGATCGCCATGGCTGCGGTTTGGGGTTGTCGTGATGGCGCGGGCAAAAAGTTCGCCAAAGTAAATTTTGGGATGCGCGGCGCTATTGCCGGGCGGTGGCAGAATCTCATACGCGCAGTCTGAAGCACACTTGGGCAGAGTGAAGCACGCTAGTACCGTGTAGTGCACGGGACATGTAGCATGCGTCATGGCCACCCGGCCGGCCAGCCAGCCAGTTCGACGCGTGCCTGGGCCACCGCATGAGGATGAAGGTAAACCGCCAGCTGCACATGTCGTGTCTGTGTTCATAACAAAAGATAGAGGCCTCTCCGCCTACCCGGCTTTTTCTCCCGTGCTGCAGGCATGATTCCACGAAAGAAGTCCAAGCCAAGTACACAGGCCCCTGCCGATACTACCTCAGACCAGCATGTAGCCGACTCGACATCTTCAGTCGGTACAACGACTCCTACCTCCACCGGCTCACTAACCCCCCGCGGCAGCAGATGGCTATCAGGTTCGGGTAGCTGGCGGTCCAAGGCACCAGCCATAGTCCAAACTGCAAAGGAGAGCATCGGTGTCAGCGGGGGCGCAACCAACGAGCTGCCGGGCGAGGAAGCGAAGAAGCCCCAGGATGAGTCGCCTAAGAAGTTTCTCACCAAGCGCAGTTCGAGCAAGAGCCACGTCATACCTGCCGCCATCACACAGGTCAACGTCTCTTCAGACGGTCTAGTCGAAGACATGCCGAAACCAGCCCCGAAGCCAGAGAGCGTCGAAGAACCACCTACACCCACGACCGTTGACGAGCCTCCATTGCCCCCCGAACCGCCGGCGTCACAGACTGCTGCCGCTGCAAGCACATGGGGATGGAGAAGTTGGTGGTCACGGCCAGATGGATATACTGAAGCTGGGAAAGCCACCACTGAGGCAAAGGCGACCGTCGAAGCGGCGTCTACCACCCCATTACCTGGACCTACCCCCTCAGAAGAGCCAGATGCTCAGGCCAAGGGCTTGGACGCTATTGAAACACCAGCAAAAACCGATGAGAATGGAGATACTGAAATGAAGGATGCTCCTGAACCACCATCTACCCAAGAAGCACAAACCGAGGCCCCGCCTTCTACTACCAAACGCTTAGCAAAGGCCTCTTCTGGATCTTGGTTCTGGATGCGGAGTAGTGCACAGAATGCTCAGGCCAATTCACCTCCTGTCGAGCCGCCACCTCAAGAAGCCGGCTCACATATTCCAGACCAGACATCTCAGCCGGCCCCTCAAGCACCGACCGAGATAGCTCAACCGGCCAAGACGACTGAGACAGCACCTGCTCAGCAAGCACCTGCTCAAGAGACACCTGCTGCGGCTGATCCTGTTGCTGCTGCACCTGTTACTGCCGAGCCTGCTACGCCCAATGATGCTGGCCCTACCGCACAAACATCCAAACCCTCGAAACCGTCAGCTTGGGCGTTTTGGTACAGAGGCAAGCCAGAAGATGAGAAGAAGCCGGGCGATGCTGGCCCACAAAAACATGTGGGTGAGGTAGCTGTCTTCGATACCCCTTCGCAATCACACCCCGAGGCTGCGCAGTTCAACGAGCAGGAGCAGTCAAATTCTGACCAAGAACCCCCTAAAGAATCGCAAAAACCGCCCGAGGAGAAACCCATACCTAGGAAATCATTTCCATCACTACGAGGTCGCCCAAAGACAAAGGCTGCAGCGAAAGACACACCGGCTGATACTCCCAGTTCCAGCAAAGCAAATACTCCAACCAAGACATCTCCAGTGCGTGAGCCTACAAAGTCCGAGACAGCCCCCGCTTCTCAGCTCACCCCGAAACAAACAGGAAAGGGCAAACAGGAACCGCCAAATCTCTTGTTGCCAGAGTTTAGAAACACTTACCAAATGGTGCAGCAGCCAAATTTCTGGAAACAAATTCGCCAATACTTCCTTGGAGGCGAGGTTGGAGCCCCTCATCTGCACATTAATCCTGCACCGCCAAGGATCAAGAAGGCTGTAGCCATTGGTGTCCATGGCTTCTTCCCTGCGCCCATCATCCAAAAAGTGCTGGGTCAGCCCACCGGTACATCGATCCGATTCGCAAATGCCGCGGCAGCAGCTATCAAAGACTGGACCGAGGCGCGTGGGTACACACCAGAGATTGAGCAGATTGCGTTGGAGGGTGAAGGCTTCATCGCCGAACGCGTCAACTCGCTGTGGAAGCTGCTACTCAACTGGATTGACCACATCAAACAAGCAGACTTCATTCTTGTAGCATGCCACTCCCAGGGCGTGCCAGTTGCAATGATGCTTGTGGCCAAGCTGATCCAGTTTGGCTGTGTCAATGCTACAAGAATCGGAGTATGTGCCATGGCTGGTGTCAACATGGGCCCTTTTATTGAGTATAAAACGAAATACTTTGGTCCCACGGCTGCGGAGCTATTTGAGTTCACGAATCCTAAGAGTCTCGTCAGCCAGATGTACCTCGCTGCCCTGGATGAGGTTCTGCGATCCGGAGTGCGTATACTATACGTTGGCAGCATCGACGACCAACTAGTATCACTCGAAGTATGACATGCCCCTATCCCCTGTGAGAAGCCAAATGCTAATTCAACACCCCTTTCAGTCGTCCACATTCTCAACCCTTTCACATCCCTATATTTACCGTGCCGTATTCGTAGACGGCCGCATCCACGCGCCCGACTTCCTCACCCACCTCGTTGGCTTCACACTCAAACTACGCAACCTGGGGCTTCCTGACCACGGGCTCATCCGCGAACTCTCACCTGCATTAGCTGGTTCACTCTACGGCGGTGAAGGCCACTCCCGCGTCTACGAGGATCCGGCTGTATACGCCCTCGCTGTCCAACACGCCCTCGAAACAACGTCCCTCCCTATCTCCTCAAGCAAAGAGCGTCCTTCGACTGCAGGAAGTTTCCAAGGCATCAATATCCCTATTATCGGGGAGAAGCTGAGCACGGGTAAGAAGGAAGATGTGTTCAAGCTTCGAGTACAAGAGTACGAACCAAGCGGCAGTTCGACGAATCCAAATCCCTTTTTTCTGCCTTGGGCTATGAGAGGCTTGCTGGAAGAGGATGTTGTGAAGAAGGAGCTTGGGCATGAGGTCGAGAGCTTACTTGGCTTGTTTGAGAAGTGGAAACCTACGGGCAAGCAGTTGAAGGATGTCAAGTTTAGACTTGAGGGAGTGAGGAGTAAGCTGTAAATGACTTCTTCGTTTTTTTCTCTGATATCCTGGAATGGATTCTAGCGTGTCGTATATAGAGATTTTCAGCATTTTTGGGGTGTTGGACATGGGGGTTTTTATTCGATATGGGAAAGGAGGGGGCGTTGAAACGAGATACCATGAACTTATATGGCATTATCTCTTGATGAATAAAAGTGTAATTTTGTCATGATTTGGGCATTGGTTCAATGTGGCTCATATTTTCTCACTGCCGTGAATAACGTGTCGGTTCTTCATCATGTATGCTTTTGAAGAACAGCATTCCGTCTGTCGAATTAGGCTATACCTCCCCATCGCATCCTGTTCTTATATATTCCATTTACAAATACCCCCAGTCCGAATGATGAATCATTGGTTGTCGTCGTAGAAAATCTCCTTGTACCGATGTGTAGCTTCCACCACTGCATTCGCTGCGTTGAAATCTGTTGTTACATTTCACATTAGCTTCTCCACTTCCTCACAATTACCATACACTCTGTATCCGATACCAAAATGGTGTATGACCATTTCGCAGCAACAAATCATAAAAAGGGAGGGTGAAGAGAAACCACGTACCAATACCCGTCCCAAAATCCGTCGCAGCCTGCACCTTGACGTGCAAATTCTGATCCACCTTGCCGATAATCTCTACTGCATGACCAACAGTGAGGTGCGAATCCTATCAATTCACGTCAGCATCTCGTTCATTCAACACCCTTCTCTCCTCTCTTTCTCTCTCGTCTCGTCTTCTCTCGTCCTCTTCCATTCCCAGCTCCGCAAAAAGGTGCGTATACGTACCCGAGTCAGAACAACATCGATCTGGCCTCCAGCATCGATCACAGCCGTTTCGCCGCGTAATTGCACGACTTTGCCCAGTATGCGTACGATGCGGTGTTGGAAGCTGGAAAGGTGCGGGGCGATGATGCGCGGGGTTTGGGGGTGATCCATTTTGGTTTTTGTGTTATAGAAAGTCTGGCAGGTGGGTCGGAGGGTTGGTGGTCGTGGGAGAGGAGGGAATTGGGGGGTGTTGTCTGTGAGGGGCAGGGACAACGGGTGGCGGTGATGCTTGGGTTGAGGGTTTGACGCGTCGCGTTGAAGGTGGGGTTAGCGTTGTTGCGCTGGCACGTGACGTCTGGGTGACTGGAGTGATTACTTTTGAGTGCATTTGAGCAAAATGCCTGCGGGATTTTGGGGTCATTGTTATGATTCAAAGAGAAAAAGGAGAGTGGAGTGGCTCTCTCGACGATTTCATGTTTACTTTCGACAGGTATGGATTAGTGGGAGGGTGAAGTGCGCACTCGCAGGCCTGTTGTCCAATATCTTAATGTCTTAGTTTATATCCTTCTATATTTTAACCCAAAGAAAGTAGTAACAAGAAATTAACCTATAAATCCTCCTCATAACTCAGCATCTTCCCAAGCCCAACTACCTTATTATCTCCATCATTACCCAGTTTTTCTTGTCAGTGTCTCTTTGGTGATGAGACTGGGAGTACCAGTAAGGGCTCTAGTGCAGCTATGTACGTTGGATTGTATTGAATTCAAAGTTGATGCTATAGGAGTAAAGAGGAGGAAATAGAGAGAAAGGATGGGGTAAGAATTGCAATCCGGGTTACTGCACTTGTCAGCCAAGGTCCGGGCGCTAGAGCAAAGATGGAAAGTGTACCTTGGAGGACTGCGATGTGCTAGACTGTGATGAAGACTGAGTCTGAGACGAGGATTGATCCTTTGCCTGGCCCTGTGCCCGGGCTTGGGCGGCTGCTTGTGCAGGTCCCAGAGGTGATGCGAAGATGGAAGGGATCATATTTTGGAGTGAAATATTAGTAGAACGAAAGTCTTATAGCTTTTTCTTCTCTGAATATGCTGTGGTAGTTGTGATAATATGCTGATAATGTCTCCTTTCTCCATGCTGTCCCTGTCTTTTATATACGCTCTTAGGCCGTACACGCCATTGTCTAGTCTCACAAGAGATACGGCAGAGACATTTCCACCACATGACGACTTCCTCACCAAGCATCAAAAGTGTACGTTTGCACCTCCACGCGGTCCTCCGCAAAAATTTCCGAGGTAAGTAGTTGTCAAGCAAAATCAGCCTTGCAAATTAACCTAAAAAGACTTTGCTAATAAGCCCATGTGTTAGGCGTAGTTCATCGAGTAAGACGGCCGCTTATGCATGATAGGGCTCTTGTCCAATAGGTTCGCGTGGCTACTTTTCGGAGGGTAAGTGTTTCCCTACGTCGCTTGGCTTAGCCTCACGGCAACGGGCACCGTGCCTTCAGCCGCACGTCTTGGCCATGCTGACTGCCTGATGAGGGCCAAGGTCTTGCGGCTTCTAGGTTCTTAAGATAGACCCTTGTCAGAGCAACCCAAAGATCGGGCACATGGTTGAACTTAAGTTCGAAGGAAGTGGCGCAGGCGTATGGCTTCCTTTGCTAAAACAAACTGTACTGTAAGTAGAGTTGAAAGATGAATCAACAAGAGACAAATCATGTAGGGAAAATCTGGAGCAAACAAATGAATACAAAGAAATTATTATAGGTAGATGTTGCACGTTAGCGAAGACGTACCACTGCGATTGGCGGACATCTAGCGCAAAAAGGTAGCAGAGCAATAGACTGTGAGCGGGATAACTGAGATTTTGATGACTGTGGATCTCATAGACCAGAGCTTTTATCATATTTGTATAGCGTATGATGTCACAAATTCTGATCGCGATTGATTTGGTCGTGCACGGCCCACTCTTTTCCCATCTCAAGTTCCGAAATGAAACCCCGACGCTAATGACGCACTAACACCCAACTCATCTCCTCAACCGCATTCCCCTTCCTACAAAAACAAAGTTGCACCGTTTCCTTGGAGAATCTTTCGACAAAAAAAGCTGCTCCCCCGGGAAGGCTCGAACTTCCAACCTCCTGATAAGCTACATAGTGCTGTAACAGTCAGACGCGCTAGCCAATTGCGCCACGGAGGATGTTGAGCTATTGTTGCTCGTGGCTTATTGTCATGTGATTGATGAGATGAAGATAAAGTGTAACGTACATATACCCCAGAGATGAAAGAAGCAATACAAGGGTGGACGCGCAAAGGTGGTGTGCAAGATTTCAATGGGTAGAGCGGGGGTAGGAAGTGGGTCTTGCTCGCTTATACGCAACATGAGACGCCTCAGAACACCTTGGGATATCTTAATGTATGACATTAGCCTGAATTGTATCGCTACTTCTCATCGCTGTATATACAAGCGTAGTAGTACCTGGGTGTAGAGAAGAGCGCGCGCCAAGTTGCGCTGGTTATGTTCAATCAAGCTGTAAATTCGCTCGCTGTTCAGCAAAAGATATTCAGAAATGTTCCAACCTCGACATCCATATTCCGTCTGGGTCGGAAGCATGTATATCATGTCTACATGGTCTTTCTGCCTCTCTTTTTCTTCTCTTTTGATGGCGTGTTATCTGCGTTGGGTGCTTTTATCTTGAACTCGTCGCTCCCAAGATCGAGATAGCCGCGAAAGATGCTGATAGTGAAGAGATCTTTCGTATAGCATGTTATGCCGTCCTTGGTCAACTTCTGCACTTCTGGATCATCTTCGTAGTTGTTCGCAAGCACAATGTTCTCTCCGGTTGTATCCATTCTGGTAGATGTAACATTTTTCGCACCTGCAGCTTTGCACACTGCTACGACTTCAGAGAACGACTCGTATACACCCCTGAGATTCTTTGTGAAATGAATAGTATAGCCTTCAAAAGGCGTTTGCGGTTGGCCAAACACATCGTTAAAGCTGAATCCCCAATCCTCTTCTTGCTTGGAAGTGGAAGGCTTATAAGCAGACAAGGAGAGCAAACGGCCCTCCTTTGCCGAGTCCAGAAGCCACGCATCCGTCACAATGGGAATCCCACGTGCAATAGCGTATAACACTTTCGTCTTCTTCTGAAGGTCGCCGTCTCTGACACTACAAGCAATCAGTAAACTCCACGCTCCGAGCTGCACTTGAACTCACCATAGTATGTTGAAGTCATCAGTCAGTTTTTCTACATATGCTCCTCCTTGCTTCTTGAGCAATTTGACTGCCTGACTTGATTTCGTGATGGTAGAGTTACTAGAAGCTACCCTTGGTGGATGTCCATCGTAAATTTCCGTTGTGGCGCATGTCGACTCCTGCGTGCTCTGGGGAGAGCGCATCAAATCCTCTTCTTCTGCTTCATCGAGTGCTTCTGTACAAGACGTACTCGTCGGACGCTTCTTTCCTTTCTTGCTAGACTTTTGGGATGTTGTGTCAATGCTACTCAGTCGAGCATCCCATGTATCTTCATCGTTGTTAATCTTTGCGCGTTTGACCCCCACTGCGAGTGCTTCTTGTTCGAAATTCGAAATCTCCTGCACAGCAGTAGTGCTACGCTTTCTAGTGGATTTTGGAGGAACCTGCACTTGTGGAGAACTTTTTTCAGCCTTGCGAAGTGAAGGTCTGGTTCTGTTCGTAACTGAACCGATAGCTGGCACTTCGGTTGATTGAAGAACATTCGTGTTCTGCGATTCACCTGTTCGAGCTGTAGAAAAGGTCTCTGATGCTGACTCTGGTTCTGGCTCTCGTTCCCGTGACGAAGGTCGTGTTTCTTTTACCGGCCCGCTCGTATCATCAGCAAAGTCGGGTGGTTTAATATCTGCAGCCAATGAAGTTGATATGCTATTGACTCGAGCTGCTGTCGGGGTCTCTTGAACCACAAAAGATTGTTGTTGTGGAAGCTGTGGAGTCGCCCGAAGCCGGAAATGGCGATCTTCAGTTCTGGCGACAGGCTTAGACTCAGTCAAACCTTCATCTTCGGTTTCATCTTCTGGAGTTTCAGCTACGCGACGAGCATTAGGGACTGCCGATGAGTCGACTTGGACCTCGGAGTTGGTCCATTGGCAGGTGAAGCTTGACCCTAAGGAGGACAGATTCAGTATGTCGCCATGGCGGAGGAAGATCGCCTCCGAGTAGTTGTCAGTACGTGGCTGTAACTCAAACTTGGCGGATGACGGAGATGGCGTATGTGATTGACCAGGTATAATAGTCAACTTTTCATTGACGGCTTCCAACTTGACTCCAAAAGGTCCGGCGACTAGCGATGTAAGCGCGTACGCATGAAAATTGAGGATTGAAGAACATACTGATGCGGCCAAGTTCCCGTTGCATGCGTGGATCCAATACGCGCACCACTTCAGCATGATTGGAGTTTGCACTCACAATTATGTGAGCGATGCCTTCATTCAGCAAATTGAATTCGTTTGATCCAGGGGCAACAGTAGTGCTCGAAGAGACCAGCGTCCACATCGTCGGAGTCGTTGGACGCGTCGTGGCGAGATTAGATACGAACGCGCGGTCACGTTTGTGAAGTTCAGAACACTTAAGCTAGTGATGACGTGCAGGATAAGTAGGTGGCACTGGCTCTGATTGGTTCATGATAGCATTGTGCGTATCATCCCTGCGTCTCGAAGAACCGTATCCTCATCCTCATGTATGTACGCTGCAAAGACCATATGTGCATTCGGTGTCTTGATCACAGAGTTGCTAGCACCCTGCATAGTGCATGCAAGATATGTGGTGCAATCACTACCGACCTCGATGTCACTTGTCACTAGCGCTCCGGGATCCGATGGGTCTCAGAGCATGGGTAAGGCCTGAGTCTAAGAACAATACTAAGGAATTCTACGCTATCTTATCATCACTTCTATCCGCGCTTCAAACAGCAAAAGCGATGGCTTCTAATAAACTCTTAGGCGATCTTGCGACTTGTAGTGAGACAGGAGAAGAACAACAGCAGAACATTGGCTCTGCGTCACCGAACTGGGACTTATCACAGTCAGTAACTCGACGCACACAGCCGCTGGGACTACGAACAATAGTAAGAGTATCGGAATCTCCAAGACCGCGTTTTCACCTTGACTCTAGACATTGGAGTGGTGAGTCGAGGTGGCCAATCACTCCCATGCTGTCACTACGGTTGCTATTATCCATTCGGGAACCAAACACGCCTCGTGCACTTACGCTATCAACTACAATGTTTAGCGACAACAGTCGTCAAGAAAAAATTGTTGCCTTGTAGCTATTATACATGTTGCTTCGCACGGTGTATATCTCTCGTTGCAAGGGGATACTCTCATTCTTCTCAGCCGTCGCTTGCCTCTACTATCATTCCTCCGAGCCATACAAGATCCCAACTTCAACACCACGACCCAAGTTACACAACCCCGCCTTTAGTGATTGTGTGACTGCCTTATCTTGTTCTTATACCTATTCTCGTCCGCCTCAGCACTTGTCTCGAAGCATTTCCTCGAGAAGCCAAACGCGACCGCTCTCAAACGACAACACCCACCATTGTTAAGCATCATGCATGTTCCTATGGACCATGTCCAAGTTCCGCCCAACTTCGACCCCTGGAGTCAGAATTTGAATATCACAGTCTCCGATGGCCAAGGTAGATGGGTTGTTGTGACGAGAAACATGCAAGACCTTGACCAATATCGTTATTTTGGATTTCGTCTTGCAATCAGCTACGGAGCCGGGTTCGGAGCATGTCTACTGCTTTTCCTGGTTCTCCTAATCACGACCAAGGCCGACCGACGAAAGTCCTCCATCTTCCTGCTCAATGCCGCTTGTGTCTTCACCAATTGTATCCGTTGTCTGCTGTTTAGCACCTGGCTCACTGGCGAATTCTACAATCCATATTCCGTTCTCAGCCAGGACTGGAGACGCATCACTAACGGAGACTTTGCCAATCATATCGCCATCAACATCTTCGGTATCTTGGTCAACGCTCTGGTCTTCGCCTCGCTCAGTCTTCAAGTGTGGACCGTCTGCGTCACTACACCACCTCTACAGCGAAGCATCATCATGACTGTTACTATCATCATGGCTGGCGTCTCGTTTGGGTACAGAGTCGCTGCTGTGTATTACAACACCAAGTTGACACTGGCCTATCAACCCACAGACTCCATTGAGTATCTGGTGTCAATCTCCTATATGCTTCAGACCGTTGCAATCTGGCTCTTCAGTTGCGTATTTACCTGGAAGCTCGGCTATGCGATTATGCAGAGGCGCCGGCTCAACATGCCTCAGTTTGGGCCGATACAGGTCGTTTTCATCATGGGCTGTCAGACCATGCTGATTCCAGGTACGTTTATGATATGTGTCTTAGCGGTGAGAATGAACTGACATACCTGCAGCAATCTTTTCTTCACTGCAGTTTGCAGCACTCCTTCCTGAAATTGTCACTCACGTCCTCACAGTCGTCTGCATCTTCCTTCCGCTATCAGCAATCTGGGCGGGAGTTGTGAACGACCAGGACCTTGCTTCCAGAGGGCCTGATGCTCATCAACGTCTTATCAGGAACGATTACTTCAATTCTGGATCCAGCGCTACCATGGTGGGGGGCTCTACTGTGTGTGATAAGAGTCGTCAGATGAGTGTGTGGTCTGATACGAAGAGCAAGGACATTGAGAGCATTCCTCTCACTCCTACCGTACCTGCTCACAAGAGTATGAATAACAAAGAAATCAGGGTCGACCGCGACTTCAATGTTTCGCGCCACGATGCTGCTAGTCAGGTCTAACTGCTACATCTACAGCCTTTCTGAAGGCCGAGGTTCCCATTTCACGTAGAAACAGAGACTCTCGCATTAGCCATTTCTGGAAACCATATCGGGAGTCCATCACGGAAGAGCTTTCATAAAATGTAAGAGTTCAATCCGAGTAGGTTGGGACTTCTCAGGAAGGGAGCGAGTAACAAGCAGAACGTACCCATGGCCCATACGAGGCGAGAACTTAATCAGTTTTGTAATCATTCAAGATAGGGATGATGACAATTGGATACATCTACAAATACTGGGCTTCATGTATGCATTCCATATCCATATCGTCGGCATTTGATCCTGTCTTTTCTTTTCTTTACTTCTCTCTTAGGCTTTTAGTCCATATAAGTAGACAATGCTTCTTTCTTGATACTCATTATATACTTTATGATTCTATTGAGACTTGAAATACATCAATGGTAGTAAAAAAAATTTGGTATATTGGATGCAAAAATATGTTTGCTGTGCTGGGGTTGGGAGTTGAGGATACGAATTGTCGATTCCAATCTTCTCTCAAAAATAGCCCTCATATCGTGACCAGCTGATTGAGTTGAGTATGTCCTGAAAACATTCCTACATCCTCTCCTTGGTATACATTTCTTGAAGGTGATGGAGGACATATGGCAACCCCAGATTTGGGCGATGATGATGACTGAAGCGGAAGGCGCGTGTCTTGGGCGGCTTGCGCAAATCGTTTTCGGATCGGACTGACCCCACCACTGCATCCCAGTCCAATGACTTTCGACAACGGCACATTGCGGAGCACCTGTCATGCGTCTCATCGACACAAGAACACTCGAACTCGGATGGTTCAATGACAATGAAATCCCTACCTACGCCATTCTCTCCCACACATGGGGCCCAGATGAAGTCAGCCACCAAGAATATGTTTGGATCAGCAGAGCCCGCACACTTTCAGCATCATCCATGCCAGTCTCTTTATCGCAGAACGATCAACATGCGCAAGCATCTCTCATGCTGGCCCTGGAAATGATGATCCGAGGGAATTCTGGGGCATTGTCAGGGGGCATGTCGGAAAGCGATCTCATGAAGCGTGTTGGCTACAGCAAAATCATCAATGCAGCCGAGCAAGCGCGGGGCCAGGGCTGCAACTATCTTTGGGTGGATACATGTTGTATAGACAAGACGTCAAGCGCCGAGCTGCAAGAGGCCATCAATTCCATGTACCGCTGGTACAGGGACGCAGAAGTGTGCATCGTTTATCTTGGCGACATTGCCAAAAACCATGGTGACTTCAGGACAGCCTCGGAAATCGCGAGATGCGCTTTTACGAATAGCAGATGGACGCAACGTGGATGGACTCTTCAAGAGCTTATAGCGCCTGTTTTATGCCGCTTCTATCTCCAGGATTGGACATTGATGGGCGAGAAGGTCGAGTTCTTGAAAGAGTTGTCGGATGTGACTAACATACCGGTCCATATTCTTGAGGATTCCAGGTCACTTAGTGAAGTTTCGGTGGCAGAAAGAATGTCTTGGGCTGCGCATCGTCAGAGCACGCGCATTGAGGATGTGGCATATAGCTTACTCGGTATCTTCGATATTCACATGCCGCTTTTGTATGGGGAAGGCGAAAAGGCCTTTGTCAGGCTACAAGAAGAGGTACTCAAAACGACCGACGACTACTCACTGTTCTCATGGCGTGCAAATGAGTCACGGCAGTCTACATACCGGGGCCTGCTTGCACGAAGTCCGGCTGAGTTCCAGCACTGTCATTCTATCGAGCGCGAGAACGTCATGTCCACCTTTCCTATCGCCTCGACGCCTATAGGTCTCTGTGTCCAGCTCGAGTTTCTACCCGACGTAAAAGATAAGAGCCGTGTACTGGCTATGATCCGATCAAGCAATTCCATGAGCCAGCGCTTAGCCATCACACTGAAATGTCTCGATGGCGGCACGCAATACGCACGTGTCGACGCTGGAACCCTCACTGCAATCGATAACTGGCCAACCGGTCAACTAAGGACCATTTACGTCCGACAGAAACTCTCCATCCCCCCAAGTTTCACAACCACAGACTTCAAATGCTTCCACATCCAACGTCGGATATCAAACCAAATCACACCCGCCGTCCGCATAATCAGTGTCACACCCCGCGCTGCCTGGAGCGAGGCTTTGCACGAGCTTCGCATTCCCGAAAACGTCACCGAGTTCTGGGGCGCCCTCCTCCTTCGCGTACAGTCAGCTACATATGCGCATTCCCTCAATTACCCAGTCGCATTTGGCTTCAACCGCGCAACTAGCCACTACTGGTGCAAAGCCGTCTCTGTACCACAACAATCGCAGAACAGCTATTCAATTGGAACCTGGCCTCAAGCCGTCAAAGTGCGAATCCCAGACTACGTATACGACCCGCTGCGCGGAAACGACGTGCGAAGCGATATGTTTCTCGTCGGAGACAGCGACTTAGCTATCAACATAAGTATTAGCGCTGGTTTATGTGGTGATGATATCGCACTGAATGTTTACATCGATGGGCTGGTGCAATGGCAATGAAAACCTCTTGCTTACCAGTATTCCCTCCTCGCCTTCTCCTTCGACTGAGTCTCTTTCAGAAATTCCCATCAGCCTTCCGACTCGCAATTATATCAGCACTGGCACATCCATCCTATCTTGAACTCCAGAGTCTCGCCCTGCACCTCGATCCACTCGTCCTCTAGTTGTATTTGTATATAATTGAGAGCGGTGGACCAGATGTCTTCTCGTGTGCAGGTGGTGAAGTTGAATGTGAGATTTTCCCGGCGGTTGGCGCAGTCTGTGGTGATTGTTATAAACACAGAGGGCTGTCATGCGTTTTTCGAGGGATTTGAGGGTTGCGGCGGTGGAGGGAGATAGGGGAGAGTGTAAGGAGGGTTTCGTGGATGTGGTTGTGCAAGGCATTGTAGATGATATGAAGGTTATGAATGGAGTGTAGAGAATGTAGCGAGAAGGCGATAAGAATGATTTTCTTCTATTTTTTTTTGTTTTGGTATGAAGGTTACAATAGAAGAACATCTAGAGAGCAGAGAAGGCGCAGATATATACACATCTGATTGAAAGCAAATGGAAGGTACGTCCGCTTTCACAAACGCAAGCTACATCAGGCATTGCCTCCAACAAACACCCATGTCCTCGGTTCAAAATCACATCCAAATCAATACAAAATACGCAAGAAGCCCCCCCAAAAATGTACATAAACCCACATCTACTCCTTCCCCCCACCCTCTTGCTGCAACGCCCACAAGCCCCTCGGCCCCCCCCCTCGCATCACAACTCGCAAACTTCCACCACGCCCAATTCACACTGCCCGCCCCATTCACAAGCCCCCACCGCACCAGCCGCGGCATCGGCGGCCAATCCGCCCACTTGCCCCCCTCAAACGTCGCATCCAGGTTCATCAGGAAGAAAGGTACAACGTCCAACGTCCCTGCCTTCATCACCGTCTTCTTACCCCAATTCTTGAACACGGCGGCTGCAGCATCTGCCTCGGGGGTGTTGGGCACGGGGGCGGAAGGATGGGAGGAGAAGGAGGCGATGGTGCTGATTTCGCTGTGGAAATGGTGGGAGAAAGCGGGCTGGAAGGAGGACATCAGGGATTGGAGGTGTGTGCCGTTTAGAGCCGTAGGGGAGGCGAGGGTGGAGAGGTAGGTCGAGTATCCAGATAGGCCTTCTAGAAAAGCCTCTGTATGTTTCCTCTTTCGTTAGATGTTTCTTTTATACAGGGAAGAAATGGTGGATTTACCGTGCTCTTTATGCGTTTCACCCCATATACTTTTGTCGTTTAAAACTTGTTCTACAGCGGGGAATAACTCGGTTTCCTCGTCATCGTGGTGGGATTTTACGAAGCGGAACCAGGTTAGTGAGTATCCTATGAATGCTGCTTTGTCTGCATCTTTGATGTGGGGTGCTTGGAGGTAGATGGAGTTGTAGCCGCGGAGGATGGCGTTGTGGATGTGCGCCATGTGTGTGGCGCCGACGGTGAAGATATCGGTCTGAGAATTGAATAAATCAGTACAACCCTGTATCAAAGTAGGGTTTTTGATTTTCAAAATAGACTACCTTTCCTGTCGCATGCTGTGGTGTAGTGATTAGTTCACATGGAGTATCCGCCCATGGACTGCTGACGGATGCCATGTTTGTTTTGGGAGAAGGGAGAAAATATTGAATCGATATGGCAAAAACTAAGAGTAAGTAGAAGGAGGTGGTAGTGACGCTGGGCATCGCGAAGGCTTGGAAACGCTCAGATTTTAGAGACAAATGATTATATATGAACTTTTGTGATTGGAGTATGCACGAAGCAGCATTAGTGTGCGTTGCGAAAGTGGTCCGTGGTGGCGTGAGTATGAGGCGACTTTGAGCACTCTCAAATCAGTTTTCAATGATTCCATATTTGCAATACGTCTCTGGCTGCATTCATCTCCTTCAGAGTTTTCATGAATTGCGACACTAGAGGACATTCACAAAGGTAGTATGAGTGCTCACATAATATCAAAGTAACATTAATTCAACCACCTCGTTACAGGAGGTGCGTTGGTTACGTGCTAAAATTGTAAAAAAAAATAAAACTACGCGAATCGAGACGCTCCGGGTCTCTTCTGGTATCTCAAGTCCACAGTGAATGTCCAACGCTTACTTTACATTACCCATTCCTCCAGAATCGCGGTATTAAACGGTTGCTAGTCTAGTCTTCAACAGCAAAATCATCACCGTCTCCGTCGCTCTTGACGTGCTTCTCTCCTGGAGCAAACAGGTCTGGATTGCGATTTTTCAATGCAGCAATTTGACTTTCCTTGAAGATCTTGAAATGGGTTGGGTCTTCTCTCTCCAAGTTCTTCAACTCCTCGGCGTTCTTCACTACGCCATCGAAAGCTTCTTCCCATCCTTTGCCCTCAATCATATGCCTTAACTCATCATCACCACTGTGGTTCATGAAGTATTCGCGCAACGATTCAATGTGCTCAGGGAATCCTTGATCGTCTTCCGTGCTCAAAAGGAAGGAAGACTGGTTCTTAGAATCATCAGGCGTGCTTGGGCGGGAGTTGAGAAGACCAGTGCGCACGCGGTGACCAAAGCGATGCAGACGACCTTCTTCAAGGGACATGTTACGGGACGCGAGAGAGACATCGGAGTTGTGGCGTGAGCGAAGTGTAGTAGGAGGTTCGTCCTCATCGGATTCAGGGGCTGTCATGTCTGTTAAGACGCTATTTTCGAGGGCAGGGGCTGTAGAAGCGGTCGGTGAAGCGCTTGGTAAGGAGCTAGTGGTAGAGGCAGCTTCTGAAGGCTGGAGGCGGGTTTCTGGATATTCGTCTTCAAAGCGCTGGATCATACCCTGGAGGGTTTGGTCCAAGAATAGTAAACGGCCTTTGTATGTTAGCTGTATTTTAGAAATACTGAGATTATATGACATACGGTAGTTGATATCGTTCTCGCTCTTCGCTTCTCGAATTAATGCCGGTTGGATCCTTGATCGTGTGGTACGCGCCGTATCAAGCAAGTCTTTAGACATTGCTCTTGCCTTGCTTGGCCCCTCCAGTACTGGAACTAAGCTTCTACTCCTTGGAGTCGATGTGCCGCTTGGAACTGACACTCTACTGAGATCCGACTCCTTGTGAGATAAGCAATAGCTCATGGCTTTAGCAATACCCGTGCCCCCGACAATGTAGTCATCATCAGCTGATGATGCATTGTCATTCTCTTTATCATCTGCGTCATCTGGGCCCACAAGACGCATCAAGATGCGCGGTACTTCGACTTGTTTTGGTGCAGCACGAAGTTCAGGCACTTCGTTGATGGATTCGATATTACGCAAACAGTACGCCACAACTTGTTTCGCGAGTGCCTTGACGACTTCGCTCTGCTCGGGAGCTGGTATGTCGACGTCGACGCATATAAGGGATTTTGACAGTTTGGCCGCAAGTGTGAGAGATGCGTACAGCGCAGCAGCATCTTCTTGGGTTTCCTCGTCTGTTGAAGTTGCCACGCGTGTGATTTCGGGATTTTCAAGAATGTTGATGTGCGCAATTTGCGGACAGTCGGGAAGAATTTCAGCGATGGCTATCGCATCTTCAAGCTTCATGTCCACGTTGACAAGATGTATCCGTTTCAGTTCTTTGAACTGGGGCATGTATTTCCTCAGCAGACATAGCGAAGTCTGGCCCATGAAGAGGCCCCTGTTATGCGAAAGATCTAAGAATTTGAAGGAAGGTAAAGATACAAGGACTGGAAATAGTGTCTTGAGCGATTCAGGAGTAAGACCGGTGTCCTGTAAGCACAAAGCCCAAAGTGGACTGTTTTCGCAGTGCCTTATGCTTTCACCAAGCTGGCCTATCCAAGATCTGAGATCATTGCCTCCGATATCGAGACCTTGACAGACCCCGGAACGCAAGTATCGTAACACATGTTCAAGCCCTTCGCTATCTATGTCGTTCGTTGCAAGACTGAGACGCTGGATACCACTAATGACACAACCATCGATGATTTTGCGAATGCTTGCAGAATTCAGGTTACACTCGGCCATGACTAATTCTTGTAGCTCGGAACCACCCAAGCGTTCGGAAATGGCTTTCGAGAAGATATCCGCAATATCTGCTGACTTGGTGTCTTTGGTAGGTGACAGAACTGGTGTGCTGTCTGTAGATGGGGAGGCCACTTGTGGTTGAGAGTTTGGAAATGGAATCATTGAGACGTCGACTGCCATGATGGATTTGCACATGTATAGGAAGAGCGCAATGTGCTTCCAACCCTCGGATGTGATTTTGGGGTTGTTCTTTAGAACCAGCTTTTTCACTGCCGAAGAACCTGGCTGACAAAGCCCATCCTGCGCACCATCGCTGGACTGACTACGACGTTTTGGTGGTTCTGGAACTTTGGCAGCGAGCAAGCCGGCGAGAACAAGGCGTATCTTTTCGTCAGTCAGATCTGCGTCCTCCAAGAATAACTTCTTTACAGGCACGATAGCCAGCCAATCGGATAGAGTCAGAAAATCTGCTAGCTGTAACCGCGATCCAGTTAAATCCAGACAGGTGATGACGCCGGGTTGAACAACAGTGCATGCGCGCGGGGCTGCCAATTGGTCACTGATACGTTTGAGGATAGGAGATTCGCGCAGTTGGCAGCATCGTCTGTAGATGCGCAGCGGGTCAATCGTTGGTCGATCCTGGGCACGAGGAGCTGCCGTTGTCCTTGATGCAGCAGGTACACCTTCAGCACTACCGCTGTCGTCGTCTCTGGTCAACTCTAGAGGTATTGTGCCGTTCTCTTCGGCTTTTCTGCGCTTCTTCTCTTTCCTTTCCTTTCGTTCCGCTTCTGATCTCTTTTTCTTTTCTTTCTTCTTGCTCGTCTCCTGCTTGTCTTCTATAACTGTGCCTTCAGGGTTGGGCTCGTTCTCGTTTCCAACTGCCTCTTGCGCGACAGCGACAACGCCTACTTTGTCCTTTTGCTCGGCCACTGTATCCGGGTTTTTGAGTGCCTCGCCTTCACCGCGCTCCTTCATCTTCTTTTCTTTTTGCTTTGGTTGCTTCTCATCTGTAGCCGCTTCGTCCTTGTACTTGGGCCCTCCAGCAATCTCAACGTCGACACAGAATGCAACTTTGCGCAGTTTGTGCTGGTCGAGCTCGGGCACTAAGCATCGTTCTCGGTTTGGGTCAACGTTCATCACTTTCCGCGGACACACGCCTCCGTTGGGGTAGACCTTGCCAACAGCACTGACTTGCGACCCCGAAGACAGGCGCCGAAGGACATTGCCGACGAATGAAGTCTTGGGTTGTTGCGGAACATAGGGGTCAAGGGCGCCATTGTGGCCTGTCGAAGCTGCCTGTATGCCATTCAGGGCACCGTTGGCAGAGGGAGAGGCGTTGTTGGCGCCATAGGGGGATGCGTGCGATCCCTGTGCTTGGGCGTGGGTAGTTTGCGCCGGCGAGTTCTGCGAGGAGAATTTGGAACTGATGGTGTTCATCCATGAGTTGCGCCGCGACGTAAGTCTCGAGTCTGGTGGTGTGGTTCCGTTGACATTCTTTTCAGAACTGCCTCGGCTGAGTAGTGTCGGTCGCTTCGGCGGTGCTTTGATGGGAGGAGTCGGGGTCACAGGAGACGCAGGTGCAGGTGCAGCTGCGACAGGAGATGGTCGTGGGGGAGATGCGGGTCTGTTGGTCGCCGGTGTCGGCTTCTGGGTTTGCTGCTCGTCGTGGCGGGGCTGAACAGGTATTCCGCCATGAGATGAGGTTTTAGGCGGCGCATCTCTACTCAGGCCTGGCGACGACGGGGCCTGTTGGCGATGGTGATGGTCTATGGTAAAGGGTGTAACGTTAGCAGTGCTCTCTCACACACGAGACAAAGACAGTAATCCAGGGTCGCGCCGCAAGGCCGAGCGGTCTCCACCCAGGGTAAGCGGGCCTTACCTCTAGTCGAGTGATGCAGCCACGATACATCTACACCATGGATGTCCTCCATGGCGGACGCAGCATCAGTCGATGTTTGGATGGTTGTCATTGTGTATTATCCAGGGGCGCCATGCGTCAGGGCTGCAAATACCCTCGGTGAGGGAGTCGGGAGTCTGCGGGGTCTGGCTGAGCTGAGTTCGGCGTAATCAACCCACGCCACGCGCTGATTGGAAATGCTGAGGAGATGCTCCCGGATGCTGTCCTGCCAGGAGCCAAAGACAATAACAGTCGACCCGTGGTGCTCACGTCAGAACTTGCGTCCAAATTCAAAAAGCTGCCCTGTGCGATCTTCGGCCGATGGCGAGCAGCGAGGTGATGGCGAACGTGCGCGACGGTGCTTAGCACGTATGTATATTGGGGCCGGGGCGATGACGAAAGACGCCCTCGGGTGCTTGCTTCGGCTCCTCCTCAGCTCTCTCTCCGCCAGCACCGTAGTAAGTATACGGCCTACTAGTACGTATGTAAGTACTACTACATATAACTACAGTACATACATACATGTTGGCGTCCCGCCCGTCGTAGCTAGTCGCGAACCTGATGCAATCATTGCCGGGCCCTCGCATCATCCGTACCCGGGGTCATGTGCGCCCTCGTGGACCCAAACACCTGACCCTCGCAAGCCAATACTTACACACGCACACACATAGCCAAGACTATCTAGAACCAAACCGCCAGGGGCAAACTCAAAGCCAGTATTGTCTACTTACATACCACTTACTGCCATCAACGCGCAAATCAGATGGGCCATGTCGTGCCATTTCACCACATTTCACATATGGAGAGCGAGTGGGCACACTTGTATGAAAAGGGGGTATCTTGTTTGCGACAGCCAACTGCGTGGCCCGTCGTCTTATCTTCTCATTGAGGTCGTGAAAGGCTAAGTACAGAACATGTATCCTGTCATGGAAAGCATCCTTCCCATGTCATCCCCAGACGCCAGAGCCGTACTTTTTTCATGATAGAACAGAGTATGAAGAAGAAAAGGCTACCGCTTAAGCAGAAGTAAGCTCTGCGATCTTGGCCTTGACGCGCTCCTCCTTCTCGGCCTTGGTGAGCTTCTTGGTCCTGTACTTCTTCGACTCTGCAGCCCACTCCTCCTTGGTCTTCTTGGGTCCAGCACCCTCCTCCTTCTTCCAGGGGTCCTCGCGGATCTGCTTGTGGGCATCCTGGTAGAGCTCCTCAAGGCCATCAGCCTCGATGTCGTCGTCAATGTAGCCGCTGAACTGAGACTTGTAGCGCTCCTCATCGTCGTCGGCGAGGGTCTCCATGTACTCAGCAACGTGACCACCGAAGATGTACTTGCGGAGGGTCTCAGCGTCGAGTTCCTTGCCTTCGATGTCGTATCCAGGGAAACGGTTCTCGGAGTGGGGAACGAAGACACCACCGTCAGAGCAACCCTTCATGGCACCGAAGACACGGGCACCAGTGGAGGTGCGGGTGAGACCGACATCAAGGAAGACCTTGAATGGGCGGCGCTCCTCACCGTCAACCTCGGCGGCCTCGGTAAGGGTGAACTCACCATCAGCCTCCTCAACACCGACGAAGTCCTCGTCAATCTTGAGCTTCTTGAGAACACGGCGGGCAAGGAGGAGACCGGTGGCATAGGCAGCGGCCCAGTTGGTAAGACCGTGGGTGATGCCGTAGGCCTTCAGCTCGTGAGCGCTGTGCATTTGTTAGCCACAATTCATGTTCAGTCCAAGTCGCGTGCAACATACTAAGCAGCCATGAAGACCTTGTCTCCGCCAATCTCGGAGTGGACAATTTGGCAGATGATGTCCTTGTTGGTGAAGCGAACGACGAGGCGGTACTTGGGCGCATTGTACTTGTTCTTGGCCTGGGTGATCAACCTCTTACGGGCATAGTAGTCGGCTGCCAACTGTTAGATGCAGTCGTACATAAGACAATTCATCTAGTACGTACTCTTTCCCTGTCGGCGGCGCTTGTACTTGACTTGGTACCGCGAGAAGTAGGCGTCGTTCTTCTGGAGCTTGGACTTTTCCCAGAGTCAGCGATTTGCGCTTCAAACCCGCATTCGAAGCATCTCGCAAAGACTCCACTCGACAAACTGTCGAAGCGGGGTTGCCATGATGGCGGTAGGATGGAGGGGGTTCTCGTTGCGAGAGCAACTCAAGGTGTACTTACGAAAGGCATCTTGACCGGCTGCTGTTAGTAGATTCGGCTGAGGAGAGAAAGTTCGAAGGTGGTGCAAGACGCCCGAATATTGGAGTGGGCGCTCGGACCATGTCGCTTAGCGATGTGCAAGTCGCAACTTTCAAGGTGGGTGACCACGCAAGCAAGATCGCGATGGGTGACCACGAGTATCGGGAACGAGACTTGACTATTACATGTACAATTGGTATGAAGCATATAGGTAGATTATATCACTTGAATTGGGCTCTTTCTGGCATTGATTGCACACACAAGATGATCCTTGGGCAGCACGCAAGCAGTCTCTCTTGGGTGCCCAACTGGAAGAAATCCGTTCTGGGACCAAATAATGCAACACATTGCATTCTTCTAACAGTTCTCAGCCTGTAATTACAATGCAGGTTTTGGTATAATCAAAAGTAGCTGGCGCATTTCAAGTTCTAGCTCGACCATCTGCTTTGCCTGTTTGAGTGCTCACGGACCCCCGGCCAGCCATCAGCGCCCCGCCGCCAACGTCGTCAACCTCAAGGCACGTAGGCACCGAGCTACAGCCAGCTCTCAACATCCACCTCCCTCACCCCACCAACTCTCCAGGGCTTTTTACAAGATGGCTGAAGCTCCTATTGGTAAGCAATGCACCTTTGGTAATTCTGAAGGCTCTGCTTACCATACCAATTAGTTCTCGATGGCGGTACTGGTTTCCTCAAGGCGGGTTATGCCGGACAGGTGAGTGTCGATTGGAGCACAACACGAAACCTGCAAAGCTGACCATAGCTACTACAGAACTTCCCGGATCACCAGTACCCTTCGATAGTCGGCCGACCCATTCTGCGAACCGAAGAGCAAAACACGGGTGATATTCAGCTCAAGGACATCATGTGTGGTGACGAGGCTGCAGAGGCGCGCTCAATGCTTCAGATTACCTATCCCGTATGTGGGCATGCAAAGGAATGATTGCACAGAATTGGGTACTGACCACTTGGCATACAGATGGAGAACGGTATCGTGAAGCGCTGGGACGACATGCAACAACTGTGGGACTACACTTTCTACGAGAAGATGAAGATCGACCCAACTGGCCGCAAGATCCTGCTCACTGAGCCGCCCATGAACCCTCTCAAGAACCGCGAGACCATGTGCGAAGTCATGTTTGAGCGTTACAATTTTGGTGGTGTCTACGTGGCTATCCAGGCTGTGCTGGCTCTATACGCACAGGGTCTCTCATCTGGTGTAGTCGTCGATTCAGGAGATGGTGTTACACATATTGTTCCCGTCTACGAGAGCACCGTGCTCAACCACCTCACTCGACGTCTCGATGTCGCCGGACGTGATGTGACCCGCAATCTCATTGCACTCCTTCTACGAAGGGGATACGCCCTGAACCGAACCGCCGATTTCGAAACGGTGCGACAAATCAAAGAGAAGCTCTGCTACGTATCATACGATCTCGAGTTGGACCAGCGCCTCAGCGAAGACACAACAGTGCTGGTAGAGTCATACACTCTTCCGGACGGTCGAGTGATCCGGGTGGGCAGTGAGCGCTTTGAGGCCCCCGAATGTCTGTTCCAGCCTCACCTTGTGGATGTGGAACAGCCCGGTATCGCCGAGTTCCTGTTCAACACGATCCAGTCGGCCGATGTGGATGTGCGAAGCAGTCTGTACAAGGCCATTGTGCTGAGTGGTGGAAGCAGCATGTACCCGGGTCTGCCCAGTCGGTTGGAGAAGGAGCTGAAGCAGCTGTGGCTCACCAAGGTTCTAGGCGGAAACCCAGAGCGACTCAACGTGAGTAAGCAATTGCCTGTCGTGGTCACTGGCACTAACATTTTTTGTAGAAATTCAAGGTGCGCATCGAAGACCCGCCTCGGCGAAGGCACATGGTCTTCCTGGGTGGTGCTGTGCTGGCAAACATTATGGCAGACAAGGAGAACATGTGGATAACAAAGGCAGAGTGGGAAGAGCAGGGCGTTCGTGCTCTGGAGAAGCTTGGAGCGAGAGGATAGTGAAGACGCAGTTGTACACGAATAAATCCAACAAATTCACGGCACAATAGCTGACACGTACGATGGATGGGAAACCTTTGTTGCTTTTTTTCTTCTTGCATGCAGTGAGAGGGTCATGTGTCTTGCCAAAACTGGCGTGTCTTGTCCCGCACCCTGCAGCCGTCATTGTTGTTGTGTAGGTAGTTTGGAAACGTGGGGTAATTAGCTCTTCCAACGTCACCGGAGGCGTCATGCCACAGTAGTTTTGGCTAGTAGAGGCAGTGGACGGACTTTGTAGGGTGGTTCGGGTCGCCAGGCGCATTGCGGGAAGTGAGCACAAGCAGGTAGCGGAACGTTAGCCGTTGCTGGATACAGTGGTACAGGTGAGCGGATTCTGAGCTAGATTGCTTGTCCCTGCATGGAATGTCGGTGTCTTGCACGTGTGCAGGTACATGGAAGGAGTGCATGCTGTGAGTGTGAGTGAAGTTGATGACGGCATCTGGGGACGGACCGAAAAGCCGCGATGTTTCTGTGGGTGGTGATCCAACTACACAGCATGGGGAATTTTGGTTCATCGTCATAGCGAGTAACTAGGGACAGTGCTAGAAGGTCCATGGAGTTTTGTCTAGAAGCAACTACCCGTCGAGGCGCGTCTAGATGCTGGATATGAAGACGGATGGCTTGCCACTCGGTGAAGTACGGGATGAAGTTCGGGGGCTCGAGGAGAACGACGCGTCTTGGATCTCGATCGATGGTTGCCGCGAATTGGGTCGAAGATGCGTGGCGTCGCTGGCACACGGCACTACACGACACTACACTGCACTACGCCTACAGCACCTACACCGACGCGTATGCCTAGGGTCACGATGGTAGACTGGCGTTGGTGTGGTGTAATAGTGTGGTGTGGTGGTATGTCTTGCGGGCGTTTTCTCCGTCTACTATGTACATCGTACATATGTATGTCTGTACACTACACCACCACGCCCCCGATATGCGCCACGACACGGCACGGCAGAGCAGAACATAACAGAACAGAACAGCGCACAGCAGAGTGCGCAATGCAGCCCCGACGGGCAGGTCTGCAACGGGCTCGCACACGCAGGGCCCCCCGCGCTGCAGGGCAAATTGGAATTCAGGTTTGGCCATGGCGTCTTCGCACAACGCGCTTAGCGCCGGGGCTGGCATTGGGGTTGGAGAGGGCAACCGGTATTCTTGTTGCACTGCGTCATCAAAGCCCATGGTGTACAAGGCAAGGAACATTCACCACCACCGACGGAAAAAACGCCCCGCCCTCCACCATGGCCTTGCACATCGGCAAACCAGGGCCACCCATTCTGCATGACGAGATAGTCATGCCCACGTAGCCGTAGCCATAGCCGTAGCTGTCCACGCACCGCCAGCACGCCGGGTCCTGTTCCCTTCCCACTCGCTGAGATTGGCCGTCCCCAGCAGCCCCAGCACCACCTCCCTTGGCGGGTGCGAGCCACCATTATTGAAACGGGCTCCACACGGCGGCCCTGTACCCTGCTACCCTCTCAGGCACGATTACCGCACGACGGCGCCTCCAAGCGGAAGATCACCGCCCTACTATGCCATTAACATCGGCTACCATCCCCGACGCCTGCTGGACCCTCCCACTACCAAATACATCCATATGCCTACATATATTGGTCGCCGCCGCTACCTGTGCCTCGTTTCCCCTCGGCACTGCGCTACTTTCCTCCACCACCACCACTACCATTTAGGAAGACCGTTGGTATATCAATCCAGCCAACCCGTCTCCTTTGCCCAAAAAGGTCAGACGAGGTCCTCTCGCCACCCCATCATATGAGATCGCCGCCAGCGTCGCCCTCTTTTTCGCGAGTCATCTTCAGATCCGACACCACCTCTCACCACTCCCATCACCACCACCAGAATATGCAACGATCCTCTGACCGCAACATGCCTGCCATCAGTTCTCCTCTGTCCCCCAGGTCCCAGCCTCTCGACATCCCTTCCCAGGCTCGACGTCGGCCAGCTCTGAACCCACGTCAGTCTAGCAACCATGGCCCTGCTGCCCACCTGAGGCTTCCTTCGCTGCCTCGCTTCCACCCTGCCAACTATGCCTCTTCCCAAAGCTCCAGCCACTCCAGCCAAGCAAATACACCAATCACTGGTCCCGACAGCCCGCACTCGCCTGCCTCTCCTCGATCAACCAACAGGCAATTCGAGGTCCAGAGACAAATGTACCTCTACCAGCAGCAGCTTCTCGCCAACACTAGCCGTCAGCACAAGGGTTTTGGTCCCAGGCCAACCAGCCCTCGTCTTGAGCCTCTAGCTAGCCCTGGAGCCGTTACACCTCTTGAGCTCGAGGACGAGGTTGGCGGCTACCTCACAGCCGGTGTAAGCCGAGCCGAGGCCGACCAGCACGTTGAAAAGTTCATTCGTGAGGAGGCTCGTCGTCGAGGCGAGTACCCTCCTGGCAGGACTACCTCCGTTGGCGGCAGATGATTTTACAATCACCAACCTGCACTTTCGATACAAAGACTGCCTAGGCATCAACACGAAATAAGCCATTACCCTACACACCTTTCCTTTGGTCACACACCTGGAGTTTTTGCTATTCTCACACGGCCATAGCAAGGAGCATTCACGGCGTTCATCACCCACACTCACCCACTAAAATAAGACAAAAATAACAAGGAATCACGTCAGATACAACAACACCATAGAAGGCATGTTGTGGAAACGGTCTCATTCTTTTAGAGCATGGGCGCGCGCAGAAATTCTCCTTGTCTCATCACCTCCAAGTGCTGGAGCGTGGCATCGGTCGCTTTTCCTTTTGTCGAATACCCAAACCAGTGTTACTATTATTTTACCCCAAAGCATGTACGACATCTCGCCTGTCCTTAGCTTCACTCCGCAAGCGCTCCACTACCATCAGTGTCGAGCTGGACAGATGACGGGTCTTTTTTTATTCCTTCTCTATACATAGCTAGTGAATTCAAGACTTGCACACTCCAAAACAAGACTCCATTATTGAAATGCTGTTTCCTGATGTGTTGCCTCCACGTCCCAAACTAATCTATCCACAGTGAAACATACATGTCTAGTCACGCTCAATAAACATGATTCGCCACACATCACACTCCCGCTCACAACCCAAGTGTCTTGAAACCTTGTCTCAACACCCATGCACACCACCCAACACCCACCTCAAAAAAAATCCCACCCACGTGAATCGCCTTGCCGCGCTACCCGTTTCCGGGCCCCATCTTCCCCCCCCCCCTTGCGACTCCCCTCCCCACACCTCAAGCCCATGTCTCTCTGCTCTTGTATCCACTACTTAGGCCCATCACCTCCCAGCACCAAGCACCAGCAACGCGCAGCAACGAGTAAGTAGGAGTAGCCCCAAAGAGCAAAGAAAAAAATACCCACACTAAACTCTGAATCAACCGCCGCACGCACGCACGCACGCACATACTTGCGTCCGCACACCCGCACCGTCATACAAACATCCCTACCCTTTTATCCCGATCAGCAGGTTAAGGTATCCACTCAAGCTTGTCTACTAGTCCTTTTTCTTTGCTAGACTTCCTTAGCTCTCCTCTTCCTCTTTCACGCCTCTCTTGTCTCTCCACTTTAAAGGAGTATCACGCTTTCCACCATGCCTTGCACTCCACACTGCCTTTTTCGTAGACGTACATTACACACGTGTAGAGTAGTTAGACTAGGAAGTAAGAAGAAGAGGAGGAGGAGGAGGGTTGTTTGCTCAGCTGGGCGCAAAACACACCAAATCCGCAATTGCAGGTGATAACCTGGGCTCGTGCTGAAAATCCTACGGGGATCCTTGGGAGCCGAAGTAGGTGTGTGTGTGCCGCCGTCGCGGGTGGTGCTTGGCCGAAATGAAATGTGTGTGGGTAATTTAAGGTGGGTTGGTAAATCATGATTTCGTTTGGTTGGTATGTATTCTACGTATAGGTGTTGTGGATTTATTACCGCTTTGCCTTGTTTGAAAGGACTAGTAGTTTGATGATAGTTTGTGGCACGTGTGTGTGTTTGCCTTTCTGTTCTACGATCTCCGTGCGTGTGTTTTATAAAGCGTGAATGTTACGAGCTAGATACGTACGTAAGTTCAACTTTGTGATGAGGGGGCGGGTAACGCGTTAACGTTTCAATGTTTTCTTTCATTCCCCTTCTCCCCCGGTTCGTATAGAGCGCAATCGAGGAAAGAAAAGGGAAATGAAATGAATGAAGTGCACGAGCAGGAGGACAGAAAAGAATGGGGATTAGAGCGGACCCTGAAGGGGTTTTTTCCCTTTGTTGCGCTTCACGATCGCGTACAGTAGGGGGATGCAGGTATGCACGGTGCGCACTCTAGTCTCGCGTATAGCGGTAATACGTGCAGTGCTTGTGTTACTCCCCTCTGATTTGATTTGCTCACCTCTGCTCACATCGCCTCTGTTTATCTTATTGGCAAAGTCTTGTTGCGTTTATTTAGTGTGGATTGGTTTTTTTGCAAACAGACAAGTCACAGAGCGAGCTGGACAGTCACCAATCGTGTGCCAATTCCACTGCTTAAGCGGAATATCAAAGATCAAACTGGGGAAAAAGGGCCGTTGACCGAATTTCACGCAATTTCACTCTTTAACCCCCGTTCCATATCACGGCTGGGATATAGCCTGCTATGCAAGAGATATTCATGCCGTATTCACTGCTTTTGGACATGACAGGGAGAAGTCGTACGTGTGGGGGCTTCGAACGGTACGTGGTATGTACGTATTCGCCCGATATGAAAACAAACTACAAATGGCGCCGGATGGGATTCAAACTGCAAAAGATACGTGTGGTATGGATACGCTTGCTTGATTCGCCCGGTGAAAGGGGAGCGGTAGGCGGAATGCACAACGATGTCGTTGTGCATGATGTCTTCTTGTCCAAGAACGCTAGGACGGTTCCGAGCATTCGCAAACATTGGCATAGAACGGCGCGGACATGTGTCCTCTGCATCCTCGTACGATCAAGGGACCAAACCATTGCTCCGATTTCCCTTTTTGAGTCATACAGGTACAGTTGGTCTGTCTTTGCACAGGCGATGCACAGGCAATTTCGAGAACCAACGACAAAGAACTAACGGACGCGTTCCTTTTCTGGCGAGATATGGCAACCGCCCGTCCCTGCATCTCTTGATGGTGTGTACCTTGATAACAGCATAGCCCGATTGGTTAGCCGTGCTGTCGTTGTTGGTACCAGCGTTGCCCTGGTGTGTTGTTCGCCCCCTCCCTTCCGCTACGGAACAGGGGTGCCGAAGAATGCCATGGATGTGGGGAGGTTGGCTTGTGCGCCACAGTTGAAATGCAGGGTGAGATGGATTCCGGTGTCGTAGCGCTTGATAGGCAGGATAGGACCGTCTACCAAGACACTTGGATGGAATTGAGGCAATTTCGTCGTGGTGGACGAGGAATGCGCTGCATCACATGTTCCATCAACGAGTCGCAACCCAAGCATCCCAAGATCAACATGTCTGGTGGTCGTGTCCGTGAGATGCCGAGCCGGATTTCAATGACTAAGTTGAAGATCAGGGTCATGGAGATCTTATCGCGGTTCCCTTTGGTGTGCTCATCGCTCATTCGCCACATGTGTTGAGGATTTAGTCGACGGGAGAATTGCTCACTATGCCCCTGTTGTGCGTACGGGGCTTACTGAGTCGTAAACGCTGCGGTCTGGTGTTGCGATTGCTTCGTGGCTAGATACGGCAAGCTTGCTAGCTTCGCTCGAATGGATTAGAGCATAGTACTCCGGCACTGGCCTTGTAAGCACCCTGGGTAGGTGTACATGCCGCTCAGTAACCGGCCGCCTGTCGCCGACTACTCGTCTCAACCTTCCGTCCCATCTCTTCCGCAGTTCGACGCCTAGTTTAGCATACGCTAGTGACTTGAGCCGCGTGCTGCATGTTGCTAAATTGCTACACCATGCATGGAGCCGTTCATTTGCCGTCTCTGCCCTCTCACCGCTCGTGCTTGAAAGATCCTACCGCTCAGCATGCTCTGTCACAACGGCTCATGGCGCCACTGCAGTGCAATGCTGGCAATGTCTGCTGCCGGACTCCTTGCAATCAAGGAAATGAGTGCGTGTTCCACACATTGGCGTTCGCCGATGGCTTGTCTCCAGTAGCATGTCTTTTTTCTCCTCTAGGCACTCAGTAGGCTGTTTCAAAAGCGACAATCTCTCCCCACATGTCGCGTGTGTAGTAAATGTGTAAGCATCGGGATGCTGAGATCGAAAAGTCAAGATGACGACTTTGGAGGGAACGACATACGTCAGAAGGCGTTGTCCATCGATCGCAAGGGTGTGCGGGGGAGTCTGTGCGTCACTAAACTGTTTTGGTCTAGCCGTTCCGAAATGCTCTGCTGGTTCTGGTGAAGGATACGGCATGAATCAGAAAAAAGACATGGTAAACTTGTCTATCTGCACTCGTGCCAAGCGCAACCTCTCTACTGCACACGACCCCGCCATGCCGCTCACTAATGCTCAACTCACCCATACATGTTCGACAGCTTTCCCGTGATCACTGTGGACCAGCAATAGCCTCGTGGTCGTCCTGGGATATTTTTCTCCACACTAGACGGCCGCGGACGCGTATCGAAGACTGACTTTCGCATCTCCACATTTGCACCACCTGGCACCCCGCGATTGATGCGCATATCATGACTGGAGGTGTAGGGATTAGTCTGTCCTCACCGACATGGTGTCCCACCCAACGCTCTACATCCCTGATCAATGCACAGCGGTGCTCTCCATTACAGGATCTGCAAGACATTGTGGTACACCTACACCTAGTTGTCTTCAGAAACCGCTTGCGTACACAGCGTGGCATGGATACGCTCTCGGTATCTGCCGGGGCGTCGATTAGTTGCATAGCGGCTCATCTACATTTTATCGACACACAGTGCACCCTTGCGTGGTTGGTCCGGTCACAACCCCCGCGACGCTCATCACCTCTCACTACCAGGACTCGAGTAGATTGTCCTTTGCAATGAACACTGCGACTTGGCGCAGCTCGTGGCATGTTCTGTACAGATGAATATCAACAAGTCGAGCCATTGAGGTGAGATTCTTGCAATTGCCGAACCTCTTGCTCACGCTATTGCGCAGAAAAACTAGAGAAAGTGTGAACACGCGTTTTCGCATAAGCTTACCCCGGCTGCGGAGTGCACAGCCTCTCTGTTCGACTTCATGCTCAAGAAATCAAGATCGAAATCAATAAAATCGTGAACAAGACCTGATCTCTGGCAACATGGTATGATACCTAGGTACCTGCCAGAAATAGCAAATCAAGTGGACCGGAACGCCAGCCACCCCAGCCCCATGCTCCGGATATATTCCTTGAAAAGTCAACAACAACCTGCTAGAACTTATCATGGGACAGGCCATCTTCGATCTCTTGCACATTCCCCCATACCATCTGACGTCAAACGCGACATGCCAGAGCCAAATTTCAAGACGGGACGGGTCATTGTGGTCGGCCCTTTGCAATCGGACCGCTTAGACGAGAAAAAAAGGGCCGTCTAATCATTATAGCAAGTTGATCTTAACCACACACCTCATCTATGTCGCAAAGTTTTCTTGTTCATTTCTTGTTAATTGTGGGGAATGAGTATGCGTTTGATGATGATGAGATGCGGTGATGCTGACAATTGGACTTTGTTGGGCTCCAAGGATGTTATAAGACGAGCAAGGAAGACGCATGGGGATAGGCATGTATTGCACTGGCTCTGCTTCCTCCGATCGACAAATGCACAGCGCCAGATTCAACGACCATGTCATTTGGTTGCGCTCATCATCATGCGGTCTTATTCCCCTTTCGATATTACATACCGCAGTAGACGACGCAGTAGCATTTTCTTCCCAGTCATCATCTGACGGTTGTACCCGATTATGCCTGTCGGTCTATTTCGAGATTGATCATTTTGCCTGTCTAGGAAGTGTTTGGCGGAGCAACATTTGCGAGGTTTCAGAGTATCCGGCTAGGAACACTGCACCACTCTGCGCAGTCCTCGCCCCGAAAGGGCTGTAAAATATTCATCGAGTATATCTCGTGTATGGCTGCATATCTTCATTTGCTGCAGCTTTTGTCAATCGTGTGTTTCCTGTATGCAAAACTGCGAGATGCTTAGCACATACCTCAACACAAGTAGTACTACATAATAGTTCTGTATTATTGGCAGATTATGCCTCTCTCACACGCTCATTCTACTAAATTAGACATCAGCAACAGAATCACAAACACCTAAAGATTCACCAATAATATCTGCGACTTTTGGCTACTTTGCATCACACTCAATATATCATCCAAGATTAACATCTGGGATGAAAGAGACAAAAGTAATAGAATATGCCCACTGTTGATTTAATCTGCACTCAATAGACCTGCTTTACATAGATTTGTGCCAACTCATTCTTGATGGATTATCTCCTGTCAACAAGGTACCGAACACTAGGTTACTCACAAAGTGCTCCTGCCTGAATGGCACATGTGATTGTATAAAATGCAAGTTCGCAAGGAGGTAAGTAATTGTCAATTTTGCGTGTATTCCTTGCATGCGCCAGGCCCATCTAGTTTTGATGCTGCACACGACCTCTCCCTCTCTCGACACACAGCCGCTTCAACAACCAAACACGTCCATTAACCTCACCCAGGTCCTCAATTTAAATCCCACTTTGACCCAAATCTCACGCCCTCTTTGTCCACTTGCTTCCATTAAACGAACATCACACAATCAAAGAAGGCAAAGATTTTTAAACCAGACTCACTATTCATTCATCTATATACAATTGCTTCTCTCTTATTAAAAATGTGTTTGCGGCCAGGGGCAGCCCAGAGAAACCCAAGCCAGCCACCCCCTTCATATAACTTTCCTTCTCCCATCCATCCCTCCAATTAGATCCAAACAAAGAAACAAAGGAAAAGAGTTTTAAAAAAGAGAGATTATAAAAAAACAATCAACTCAAGTAAAAAATGAGCGTATGATAGGTCAGTTATACACATCAAGACCAGGAGAATCTCGATGTAAATAAAAGGGGAAAATCATGCACCACACCAATTACCTGATCATCTTGATCGTGAAGATTGCCCAGCAAAATTCACAGCCGAAGGTTGACCATTCCATCTCTTTTTTTCATCTCTTCTTCTGTTCCCCGTTCTCTCCCCATTCTCTCCCCATTATATTAACATCTCTCTCTCTCTTTCTCGCACATACACCACCTCTTATTCAATGAGTTGAATAATTGAAGAGCTTACTCAGGTTTTCCGAGGATACCACGGGCCATGTGGCGCTTGCGGAGGTTGTACTCAACAGCCCTCTTCTTGGCCGCAGCGCTCTGGGTGAAGGCAGCGGAGCCACCAAAGGGACCAGCGAGAGCTGCGTTTTGCATGCGGACGACGCAGACGTTGGTGGCGCCACCGGCGGTACCCTGGCAGGTCATACCAGCGGGCATCTGGACCTTGACGGGGAAGTCGGTTGTGGAGGCGGCGGACAGACCTCCAATACCGATACCGGGAACGTTCTGGGTGACCTGGGCGTCCTGGAAGGCAGCAGGGTCGGTACCGCCAGAGGTGGCATCGATTTGGGCAGTGAGGGGACCGGCACCGTCCTGGTTGACTTGGTGGAAGGTCATGGTGACTGTGCCGTCGTCGGCGGTGGTGGGAAGACCAGTGGACGCACCGGTGCCAGCGGCGGCAGCGACGCCCTGTTCGGCAGTGCCCTTGGGTGTCTTGGTGCCTGCACCTGCACCGCCAGCGCCACCAGCTCCGCCGGTGAGGGCATCGAGAAGACCACGCTTGTTGCCGCCGAGGCCACCAAGGAGAGCACCGAGACCTCCAGCAGCGCCACCGGCACCGCCAGCAGCAGCACCGCCGGCACCAGCACCAGCAGCTTTTGCGGCACCAGCACCAGCAGCACCAGCACCAGCACCAGCACCAGCAGCACCAGCACCAGCAGCACCAGCGCCAGCAGCACCAGCAGCACCGGCACCGGCACCAGCACCCATGAACTTAGCAATAGCCGCACCAGCATCTACAGGACCACTGGCGGTACGTCCAAGAGCAGACGCCTTGCCACCCATCTCCTTAGCACGGATGATGGAAGTATCAGCCTCAGAGCCGGAAAGCGGGTTACCAGAGTCACGAGGGGTACCATCCGCGACAGAGAGACCGGGCATGTTGACACCGTTGGCACCCTGGACCTGGGTGATAACACCGTGGGCCTGGACGGAGGCTGCGAGGGCAGCAGTGAAGACGATGGAGTAACGCATGTTGATGGTGGTGATATGTAAGGTTGGTTAGGGGGTATTTACAAGAGTAAATTGGTAAGAGAGATGTAATAGAATGATTTGTTGAACGTAATAAGAGGATGAATAGAGCAAGCGGCCGGCGCAAGTAGAAATTAGAAGGATGGAATGGATAAGAGAGAATTAATAAAGAAGAAGAAAGCGAGTCTGGTTGGTTTAATGGTTTGAATGATGATTTTGGCTTGGGGGGCAGGAACACAGTGTCTTATATACACTTTGATTCTCTACTTCTCTTGCCCTTCTGCTGTGTAAAACACTAATGAGGTCAATGCCCAGAAGCTTAGCTGCACACAAGCACTTCGGGAGGCCCCATCCTAGTTTCCGGTGTGCTCAGGCGCCTGTTTGTTGGACGGGAAAGTCGAATCTACCCTTGGTGCCGTGCCTCAAAACGGTAATGGAATCGGACTGAGGTCGTGATACCCGGGGCACAGACGCTGGACCGCGAACTGAGACGGTGTAGGTCGAACGATGGGCGCGGGTTACTCCACTACAGCCAAGCGTCCGAAGAGATACTCCACTGCGGGACGATCTTCTTTAGAAGATCGGGGCAAGCATATCCCGTATCCAGGCAGGCGATCAGAGGTAGTCGTGTTGCCTCGGTACCGAATGCATTGATGTTTGACATCTGAGAAGAATGATCCGCATATTCGTATCACCAGGCATGTTTTGTGCCAAACTTGGCGATTCAAACACACATGCTGGAACGAAGTTTCGATGTAAACAGTCTTCCTGCGGTCCAGTTACTGTATCGTAAGAATTCCAGTCGTCCAAGGCTCATTCAAAGGCCCTAAGAGTATACACCGACAAAACAAAGATGATAATATCCCGCAAGAAGGAACACCTACTCAGAGTCTTCCGGTGCTGAACGGTTGGCCGCGAAGCCGGCGCTGCAATAAAGTTAATGGTTGTTTCAGTGATTGAGGGTTGAAACTCTAAAGTTTGGACTCGGTCGTGTACTAGCGTAGTTTGCTTTTTCGCGGAACAGTGACTGCCAACCCCGATTATTTCCGAAACATCCAAAGCCACCCCCCGAATACGGCAACAACACGGTTTCAACGTGTCACTCATACTCCGGGAAGCATGCTTCCATCTAAGCAAGGCTGGCGATGGCAGCTTCGACAAGTACGGCAGTGAGATATCATGCAGCAAGCCACAGTTTCTGGATTCTGTAATGCCGTGTCATGGTCTTTTCCGGTGTTTCGCTGTCCGCGTCAATGATGACAGAAGATATGCGGATTGACTCTTCGTTTTCTGGAAGAGCACTGCAATTTCCATAGACGTTTGCGAGACTCTCGTGCTCCCGTAGTAGCCTCACCACGCAGCAAACGTTGTGATACACTGTTTCAACACACCGCCTTCTTAACATGATTACCCACAATACTAGCGATGCACCAAGTCGTAGCTCTAGTTCGTCCTGTTTCTATCTTCTTGTTGACCAATTTCGTATTACACATCTTTCAATCATCCCAAGGTCCCTGCTCTATCCAAGCCCGGAACTCGCGAACTTCCTTCATCCACAAGTACCTGATGCATATCTCCTGAATCTCAAAAATAAGCATTCCAGCGTCCAACTTGCCCTTGCTCATAGAATTCTTGATAAATAACAGCAGGATGCTGATAGCACGGGTCTGCGCTTCCTTTCCGTATTCGACAATCGGTGTACCGTTTGTAGTCAGCTCCAAAGTTGGCGGAGGCGCCTCCATGGCCTCTACGAGCCGTAATGCGTGCTGGATGAACCGGAGGATGATGTTCGAACCGTCGACATCGAACTCCTTGAAGGTATCATCGACAAGGAGTCTGGTAAGAAAATCGAGCGACAAAATCTCAAGAGGGAGATGCGCGAGTTCGTCGGCAGCTACTTCGGGTGCGTCTCTGAGCTTTCGCAGCATATCCTCTTCCCAAGACCCTGAGCCATTGACTCCCTGTGTCTTGCCCTTGCGCAATCCATTCTTTTCCGTCCCGTTCTGTGCATGTTTCTCCACGGTCTGTGCCTGCGCCTCCGGTAACCTGTCCCAGATTTGTGTCTCAACAAGCATCTGCATATACGGTACGATGTCGAAGTCTGGAAGCGCAGCCTCATTCTCGAGCATCCGCTGGTATGCGCGCCAAGTTGGCTCTTTTGGAGATAGTGGCTTGTCCACCAGCAAACCCTTAATACATCTTGCTCTGATCCGCAAAATCTCGTCTGTCGTGACCGTATTCTTCATATGGATACCCGTGACTGTGTCCAGCCGCAGCGCAGCGAGCTCCCCGTCAATGACCATAAGCGATTCAATCCAATGCGATAAGAAAGGTTTGAATCGCACTGGTATATCCTCATTCATCTTCCAGAGTTTGTACTCGCAGTTCAAAATAGCCGCGAGCGCTTCCAGACTCGGCTCGACGGCAGCTCTACGTGCGAATGCATCGAGCGTATTCTTGATCCTCAGCGATTCTTCAAACTGGTCTGCATTGCTGCGTATCGATTGAGAAGCTATCTCTAAGTCGCGAATCGTATCGTAGCTTGGTCTGTTTGGATTGCTGATAAGATTGATTTCTGCGTGGGTAAGGGTAGCAGTGAGATAGCTCATATCGGGCAGCATTTATATCGCGGCTTGCGCTTCGAGGGATAAGAATGTTGCGAGTGAGACGTTGGTCGCTGAAAGGAATACATAGGTTCGAGATGGGCAAGGTGTCATGGCCGTGGGTGGTGGTAGTGGTATTGGTGATGCTGCACACAACACGTAACCTTGGAAAGAACGAGTGGCACGTGCCAAGGATCGTGCTCCGCCCGCAAGACTAGCCATACGCAGAGGAGTGAATTTGTACGCGTGACATTTGGGCAACAATCATTGAAAGATAGTCATCAGGATGTAAAAAGCAATGTGTTGGACGAGAATGATTATTTCGCATTACACAAACATCTATTGTCACGATGCTTGCCTAGTTCTAGGTATGGGCAATACTTTAATTGCAACGTTAAATACTGCAATCAACAATTCAGTCACGATTCACAAACACAATCAGGATAAAGCTTGTAGAGTGCCCAATTAAATTCCTATTATGCTACGCTCCTCGGAATGCTCCAGGATGCACCAAAAGCAAACCAAAAAGTAACCCAGGAAATAAAGGACGCCGTGATACAAAGCAGGTCATTATCGTATGCTCAAAGCCCAACCGGTGCTGCCATCTTGGTCTGCATCATCCGACTAACTCCATGCCGAGTAGGTGGACCCTGTATGGATACATCGAGAGATATTTACAAGCCGAGCGGAGGCAGATGAGACTTTAGTGGTAGTGGTGGTGGTGTTAAACAAAAGAGAAAAAGATGGGTATCGTGATGATTTGACAACAAAGTCATAACCGTTAACGCGGCATGGTAAACATTCGTCCGCGGCCCGGCTAGAATTTGAATATAATGTAGAGGGCGTGAATGATACCCTGGGATGAATCGGTTAGCTGTATTGTAATCGGCTAATGTATTGGATAAGCGGAACTCACCGGAATGTAACCCAGGATGGTCAACAGGATGTTGATGAGGAAGTCGGCGCCGCAGCCGCGCTCGAGGAAGACACCAACAGGTGGGAGGATGATGGCAAGAAGGATCTTGCAAATGTCGCTGATGTCTAGTTAGTATCGTGTCGCCAACAGAAGCAGAGAAAGCGCGCATTGGCTAAGGCTGAACATACCTAGCGGTGAAAGGCATGGTAGTGGTTGTTGATGGGTGTAAGAAAAAGTGGTTGTTTGGTGGTGTTCAAGGGCTTTATAAGTAACTTGAATGTAACTTGAGGGTGTGGTGGAGTGCTCAAGCAACAGTGGCATGCAGCGGAGTATTTATGGAAGACTGATGGGAGTAGGCCCATGACCACACAAGCATGACGTAACAGATGAGGGTTGGCAGGGATGCGACTGATGCCGCGCACCCGCTGCCGGTTTTTGGCGCCACAACCAACACACGCGCCAACCACTGTGGCTGGCGTCATACGTCCGACACATCCGATTCCAGACCAAGGTTCCAAGCCATCCCAAGGATGGCCCACCACAGCGCTTCCACGCTCTCAAGACTCACTTGGACGCCGCTCTCTCCAAAGTGACGCATGCCACGCTGAGAACGGAGACCACGGCAAACAGTAGGCGCACTTCTACTTACTTGCACAAACTCCCAGCAATTTGGGTATGCATGTAAGCACAAAAAGCCGCATGCATGGAAACCCTCACCACGGACGAATCCAGAATCCGCGTATCCGCATGTAACAAACATATCCCCGGCGTCACCCCGAAGCCCTCTTCCATTGTCATACGCATCAAAAAAAACTTACTAACTTGGCGGCTAAGCCACAATTATGCGAACGCGCAAGCCACAATTATACACACGCCACAATTATACACACGCCACAATTGTGCACACGCCACAGCAGATACGCAAGCGCCTATGACAACGTTTGCTCGTCGATCTCTTTTCGCATCGCCGGCAACTAATCGTCATGTTCAACGCCTCACCCTGTGGCAGTGTCGTTCTATGTAATCCTAGTGGGTCTGTGGCTAAAAAAACTCTGGGGAAATCTCGGGCTACTCGGCAAATGGCTTGGGAGTCGCCGCCAGGTTTTAAAATTCCAAGGCATAACGTGGCTGTGGCTGGTTTTTTCTCATGCCTTGAATGATCACCTTGTTCGTCATATACACTACATACTAACTACACGTACTGATGCAAGCATGCTGCATGAGAAAAAGAAATCACAACCTGACGGTCTTGGCGCATTGCCAATCTTCTCCTAAAGTTTGTTGGTAATTGAGCCTGACCTGCAACTTATCATTGAGACGACGACCTACTGGGAAAGGCCGAACGATAAGATCAAACGCGTAACATGTATTCTTCCAGCTGTATAACCAGCTACAATGCGACCGAGATATGAAAGCTCCGCCCCATTTGCAGAATTCACACCCACCACGGGCTGGTAGGAAAGAGCTGCACGATCAGACTAATAATAAGCATGGCACGTATTTCCCAACCGTATAGTCAAACCTACAATGCGATCAAACTACGAGAACTCCGCCTCATCTACAGACTTCACATGACGATCCGCCGAGAAAGGGCTACACGATAAAATCGGTAAATATCATAGTACTTGTTTTCCAACCATATAGCCAAATACAATGCGACCGAAATGCGAAAAGCTCCGTCCGATTTGCAGACTTTACACACGTACATACACACGAGAAAGCCTTGCATAGCGCCAAATCACCACCACCACCTCACACCACGCCTCAAGAAGCCGCGCAAAACAACAGAAATCAATCAGGGTATATTCAATATCTCTCCGGGTATAATCTCATAACTCATAACCGCACCCTCCTCTCTCAAAAACCACTCACGCCTTCTCAGTCTCAGCCTGCTTCTGGAGATCGACTTCCACGCCCCGCTGCCTCGCCTTCCCCTCATCATGCTGCCGCCTCGCCTCCTCCTTCTGCGCCTCATTCCCCGTGAGCCCGGCGACCGCAGCCCCAATATTGCCTCCAACACGATCCCCAATTCCCTTTCCGAGATCATTCACCTGGCCGGCTGCTTCCTGGCCTTTGCCCTCTTTGTTCTGGCGGATACCTTCTTGCTTGAGGCCTTCTGCGCCGAGGAAGCCGCCGAGCGCTTCTTTGGCGGCGCCCATGTTTTGGTTCCACGCACCGCTGGTGCGGTCGGGCGAGTCTTTTGCGACGCCACCTTCGGCGGTGACCGAGAAGGGACCGGCTTTGGCGGCTGTGTGCGAGAGGTCGTGCTTGGAGTCTGCGACGTCTTTGCGGGCTTCGCCTTGGGTCTGCGAGGGATACTATGTTAGGATAAAGTGTGTCTTGCAAGGTAATAGTTTTTTTGTTGATTGGATGTGAATGACTTACCTTGTCGGCAGTGTTACCAGTCAGAGAGCCGATACCACTCTGAATAGCGCCTGTGGCCTTGTCCAGGTAGGACTGACCGGTAGAAGTCTCGTTGGTGGACATGATTACTTGATGTCGATCAGGTGATAGTAGGTTTGATATAAGAGTTGCTTTGCGCGTCAAGGCTTGAAGAGCTTTCAAGAGATGTTTTTTGTTTGCAAATTAGATATGTATCGTGGAGTCTTGAAGATGGAAGGGGTTTATATCCTCTTTCTATTTGTTTGAGACGACGCGACGAGGGCATGTGAAGTATGACGTCACAGCCCCACTGCATATGATCGTAATCGCAACCACGCCCTGCAAACACCCTGCAACAAGGCAGCCGCAGCAGCTCTGACGACAGTGGCACTTCCCGACGGAGTGGGAGCGAGAGACGCGTGGCATTCATGAGAAATATTCGTAACATCATTCGTGTTGCCACGAATAGGTGATGCAATAGTCGCTGCCGTGTCAGCTTCCAGGCTGTACCGCAGTCTCTTACCATCTGGCACGCCATCACGATAGGAGTTGGATGTCCGCCGCGCAGTTATTCAAAGTTAGGCAGAGTGTATTTTTCAGAACAATGTTTTATAGTTGACGAGTACAGCAAAAAGTATGCACTAAGATATATATTTATTATTGCTCTTCTCGCAATACTATGAAGTAAAATGGATATCAATATCCCAAGGCTATATTCCACAAGCCCCAAGACCCAAACACCAGAAAAATGCTTTTTTTGACATGATCATCATCTTGTCCCATCATTCACCAGTGGCAGATACCCCCTTCACTATCGTCAACACTCCAGGTACCAGCAAGACCCACAACCTCGACCTCTCCACCAAACCCCTCTGCCACCTTGCCCAGTCGTACAACGCCATCGAAAGCACCAGATGGTGTGCCAAACTCGGCTGGTCCATTGTTTAGCAGACGCTTGGCCCAGGCATCGATTGCCGGCTCGCCAGTCTCGTCTCTTGCTTGCTTGAGAAACGGAATTAGAGCCGTACCACCGGTTCCTCGAAGCTTCTTGCTGCCAGTACGAGCCATGGTATTGGCAAGATTGACACGCTGAGTAGTCGCTTGTTTGGGCGATAGAGACCGGGAATGTGATCGCGACTCGCGAGACTTGATAATGATGTAGCGAGAGACGAGCTGGATGTGCTTGTCCCGTAAGGTCCGCAGCATAGCCAAGCACGCATCGTACGCCGTCGTCAAAGCGCGGTTTCTTCGGTTCAATGTAACGTATTCCCGGATGTTAGCGACACTCTCCATGTGCTCGAGGAACCTGCGATGGGGGCCGGGCATGTAGTTGCGCATGTCTTGGATGAATCCATGAGACGGCCCGACTGGGGCTGGGCTCCCTGGCTCTGTTCGCTTCTCGCCAGTGGGCCGGTGCTCGACGCCGAGGACTACATCGAAGAACTGGATGATGGAGCTTTGCGCATTACTGCCACCACTAAACTGTACATAAGGCTGTTGACCAGTGCCATCGTCGAACATGACTCCGTTTGGAAGTCCAGCATCTCCCATATTCTTGCTTCCCGCGAGGAACGGTCGGATTCGGTGATAGAATACGTGAGGATCGCAACTCTCATACATGCGCTCAAGGAGTGAGCCAATCTCATCTAGCCTCTCTGAGAATGATCTCAGACACTGTACCACAGTGTCGCTGTCGTTGCGCCTAGCTGCTGCAATAGCTTCAATCATCATCGGAATGATTGGGCCGGCTCTGGCTTCGATTGCCACTGAGACGAGGTAGAACCATGATTCGTCCAGCGAACCCGTAAAGGTCATCTGTGTTGCAAGATTGTCTAGAGTATCTGTAGGCTCACCATCGAACAGCGGTCGCCAGTTCCACAAACAGACGGCTGCAAAAGTAGCGACTGGTGGCAGCTCTAGATGCTTGCATGTTCGTAGAAATGGTATCGAAATGGATGGAGGTACAATCTATGCATTCCTGTTAGTTGTGCGCAACTTTGTAACATGGAAACTGCCAAAACTCACATCTGCCGGCTTATCACCTCCCCAGATGTACCCATGCGCAATGAAGCTAAGAATAGAATATGCTCGCCGCCATTCTGCCTCAGTGAGAAGAAGGTCAGTCTCGAGAACAGGCAACGCATCCACTATCTGGCGGAGCCGCTTGGCGAGTATTAAGCTCTGAAAGTTGCGCACGACGGTCTCCCAAGGTTGGTAGTAGCGATCGGGCAAGACGTCGAGCGGTACCTCATCAGGCAAGAAGCCGTTTCGAGCCGAGACATCGTAGTCACTCAACTTTGGTAGCTGTGGAAGCATTGCGTCGGTATTATGGGTGGAGGAGTCTCGAGTTGCACTTTGGAAGTTGGTTGTCAAAGGCAGGTCCTAGATTCGGAGTCGACGTCGGAGGCTCTAACAAGGCTGGACGAAGTAGACCCCTAAAACGATTATTGCCACGAAAGCGTTTACCCCAGATACAAGCCAAAAAAGAAGCCTATACCGGATTCATAACAAGAGAAGAATCTGGAGAACAGAGGCTGAGGGGAAAAGAGAAATGGCGCGATTAATAGGTCGCGTGTGGACGAAAGGAAATCCAGCCGGCTTCGGTGGAGGTTTCGGAAGTAGGGGACCTAAGGCTTCCAGACTGGTATTTTTGAGTTCAAGGGAAGAACCCTGTACCGACTAGGACGTTCAAACTAACGAGGTCAGTCAGGCGCCACAGCTATAAGACACAATATGTAGCAGAAAGTGGTGCAAAGGGCGAATGTGGCGTGAGAGCAAACGAGCATTATATTTGCCCTTTCGGCCGCGGGCTGCGAGCGAGCACCTAATGGGTGAATGGAGGGCTGGGAGGGGCCATCTAGAACTAGACAGAAGCACGCGATGCTCAGTAATTGCTCATCAAGAGAATTTCTCGCTCCGAATACTCCCCGCAATCTCCTTGCGTGGGTGCCACCTTGGGGGAGACATTAGCAATCAATTCACACATGGATTCAGTAGTTCTACTACAAGTGGAGGTAGCGCGGCTGGCCGACGGCCGCCTACTAGTTGTTAAGTCCACCACGCTAGGCCGTGTGAGCCCTGCATACCCGTTCTCCACGGAAATCGGCGATTGCGCCGTTCCAGGAGGGGTGGGAGCACGGCTAAATCCATGAGGTGAGCGAAGAGTGACATGCAGCATGCGTATTCGATGACAGCCCTTCTTTGCCTCTTTCGATGAGCACACAATACAGACTGTAAATCTTATCGTAGATCCTTGGCGTGGCTATTGTTTTGTCTCCGTCTATTCGCCGACGCTAGTGCAGCTGCTGCAGCTACTGTTGCTGTTGCAGTAGGCTAAGGTTGCAGATCAGGAACCGCATACACAGCACCATGGCCAAGTACATACATATGCACTACTATGGACACCGCAAAGACAAGTCATCACCAGGAAATCGCGCAGACCAACGCACATGGACCTAAGTCTGGAAAATCGATCGTGCGATTGCCTAAACACTACTGCAAGTTGATAATCAAGAGCCACAGCCACTTGCTGGGCGTGCAGCTATGCTCACCGGAAAAAAAGTATTCATGCCCCTAGTGACTATCGAAAGCAGTTTGGCTATGCGCGTCCGACTTTGAAGCTGAGGATCTACCTCATGTCAGTACACCACCACAGGGATACCTAGCGAGAAAGGAATTCAAGAAACTCACATCGTTCTTCCCGACAGCGACAATATCGTCCTCTGCAACTCTCCTCCCGCCTTCAGTTTCTACGTAGGCCATGGGTGCATCGCCCATGACCTTCCTGTACACATCGCCCACCGTGCTTCCCTTCTTGACTAACACACAGTCACGGAATACTGCCGTTGAACTTGCTGAGCCACTCGTATACGTGTGGATGTTCCTGACGGGAAAAACGGGAACCAATCCAAGCAACTCTGCTGCTCTCGATAGCACTTGCACAACTCCCGTGCTGCCAAAGCGATATAGAACCATGTCTTTGAGATTTTCAATCCGGGTCTTGAGTTTCTCGTCCAGTTCCTTCAATCCGCCACCGTCTGGATCACCTTGCTCAATCAAGTCTTCCCTTGTGTCCACAAACTCACTACCCTCTGTATACTTGACAAAGCCCTGTTTCGCCAACTTCCTTAAAAAGACCTCTGATATTGCGCTACAAAGGACTATACTTTTCGGGTCTTGCACCTTTGCGATTTTTGCAATGTTCTTATCGGCATCCGGGTGGTCGATTTTGTTGAGGGCGATGACCGTGGGGAACTTTTCGTCAGTAAAGGCATTTACCACGCGCTCAATAGTTTCGTCAGACCAGTCCTGAAGGGGCTCTTTCAGAGCAAGTCGGTCGAGACAGCGCGCCACCACACTAGATGTCGACCCGTAACCTGAAAACTGGTTTTGCAATGTTTCTACAGCCGTCGCCTTGACAGCCACATGTCTCCTCTTGATACTGCCCCACTTCTCCATCAGATTGCCTTGAATCCATCGCACGATCTCGCTTCTTAGCCATACAATATCCTGACTTGGGTCGTATCCTCTTGTTGCCTTACCCTCGGCATCTGTCGTCCCACTGACATCGACCACATGCACCAGCGCATCGGCATGTCGCAGGTCGTCCAAGAACCTGTTTCCCAGACCTTTGCCCATATGCGCACCAGGAACAAGTCCGGCGACGTCAAGTAGTTCTATGGGCACTGATCGCCTTCCCTCGTCACAAGAGCCATAGTTGGGTTTGCATCGGTCAGAGACGTTGAGACGGGCGCATGGGCATGGTATTTGGAGATATCCGATCGCGCGTTGAGGATCGATTGTGGTGAATCTAAAGGACGTCTGTCAGGGTATCATGCTACGAGAGCGTCCGTGTAGCATGAAAAAAGACTTACGGAAAGTTGCCTACTTCTTATCAGCCTAACAAGTCTCCCACATTGACATTTTGCGATTACCGACCGACTTTGGAGGTAGCATCTGTCAAGCTGCCGTGAAATAAATCTTAGAAAAGGTCCCATGAAGGAGGAGGGGGCGTGGAGGGGCATTTGCGCACCTGTTTAGGGTAGTCGACTTTCCAGACGAAGGCTTGCCTACAAGACCTATGAGCGGATCGCGTGGCATGATGTATAGTACACCCAGAGAAAACAAAGGGTGGGGGGTATTAACGAGGGGTGGCTGCCGAGCAGAACTCGTGGTGCAATCGTCGGCCGATTATCAAATTCGCGACAGGGCTTATCGATAATGCGCTGACATCACCAGATGATCTACGTCTCCACGACAATCTAGTCTGTCCATGTGTTACCTATGGCAGCAATGAGCCCCTGAATGCATTGTAATCTCACGCAAATTAATGTTCGTAACAACCACGATGACGAGTAATGAGTCAGTTCCTTCTCGCGTAAATGAGTGTGCAGGACAAGAAATTAACTAATCTTGACTGTTGGCGAGTAATCAACCACCAATTCCCGTACTATTAGAAGTCCTAGCTAAATACGTCTACCTTGTGAAACGCCTTAAGATGCTCGTCATATCAGGGATCTGTCGTGACTATCCCTATCCAAAATGCCCATCATACACCGGGGAAAACATGCTCAAGGCTGAGACTTTTTCGGGGGGTATAAACGTCGCTGAATGGGAAAAACATGAATGTTGGCAACCACATCTGCACACAACTGTCACACAAAAACCTCTTTTTTTGGTAGCAACAGTGGGCGATTACCCCTAAAAAATAATAGAGAAGCGCCTTGAGAACACCGAGACAGTCATTGATCTATAAGGAGAGTATTTCCCAGTTTCGTAAGGCTGTTAACGCGATTTCTGCAAACACTGTTAGCCACTGTAAAGCCCCTGCCGATAGTAAGATTTGCTTACGAGACTTGCAATTGCCGCCGCCGAGGCGAGATCAGGCTTGCCCGATACACTTCGCTGCGCTGCCCGCGGCAGACCACTTGTAGTGTTGGTATTGAGTGGAGCGCCATTTGCAGCACGCTTAGTGCCAGAGCCGCCAGGCGCAAGTCCTTGATTAGTGGAGTGACGTCGTTGTGGAGCAGATGCTTTCACTGGAGACTGGCTGTTTGATATATCGCGCTGTGCACTGGCAGCGGTTCCGTTCCGGAAGCTAGGAGCTGGCGGTTCAGGAAGTGGTCGAGCGCGTGCATTGGCCGCCAGCGGGGCTTGCGCGCGCTTTGCGGGAGAGGAGACGCTTGTAGGAGCGTTGTAAGCTCGACGTTGCTGAGGAGCTTTGCGAACCCCTGTGATAAACTCGTGATGCAACGCTTCATCGGGCTTCATCCGTCGCTCAGGATCCCACCGCAAGCACCTGGAGATGAAATCCAAGAAGGCTTCATCGTCACACTTGAGGGCTTGCTGCAGGGTCTTGGAGCTTGGTCTGCGCCTGCGGCCCTTGGAAGATACCGTGACTCTCGGCTTGCCAAGCGAGTCAAAGAATAACTTCTTCCTGCTGCTCTTCTCGATCAAATGCTTCTCGGGAGGACCGAAGATTTCCATGATGCAAGCAAGCTGCTCTTGCTCATTTTCTCCTGGGAATATAGGGTAGCCCGTGTAGAGTTCGGCAAGAATGCAGCCCAAACTCCACATGTCAATGGATAAACCATAGCTCATGCCCAGAATGACCTCAGGGGACCGGTAGAAGCGAGATTGGATGTAGGTGTAAACCTTCTCCGATTCAAAGCAGCTGGATCCAAAATCGATGACTTTAATCTCCGAATGCAGAGGGTGTGCCAACAAAATATTCTCGGGTTTCAAGTCGCAGTGGATGACCTTTTTGGCTTTCAAAAGAACAAGAGAGGACAACATCTGTTTGCAGAAACGGCGGATCAGGCGTAGTGAGAAGCCCTTGAACTCATGTGCTTTGATGAACTCGTACAAGTTCATACCCAGAAGTTCCGTAGAGATGCAAAGATGGCCGCGGAAGTAGAAGCTTTGCGTGAAGTTGATCATGCTGTGCTTGTTATCAGGATCCTAGAAGATTGTTAGTAACTCTCAGTGTGCCCAGGTAGTGCTCACTTACCCATTCGCGTAGCTTTTGAAGAATGTTGACCTCGACCAATGCTTGTTGGTGGAACCGCTTCTTGTTACGAATGATCTTGATGGCTTCTAGGCCCCCCGTCTTGTGGTCTACGCAACGCACAACCTGGCCGAAACTGCCCTTGCCCAGAACATCGACTACTTCATACCGGTAAGCCAGATGATCTCCTAGGACGATGTTGTAATCGCCACGGTCATCATCATAACCAAAGTTGGCTGTTTGGGCGTTCAAGTCGCCAACATGTTTCTTAGCATTCTTAGTGCCACAGAAATATACCTCTTTGTAGTCGATAATCTCGCCTCTTTCGAAGATATTCAAGTTAGCCATACGCACGGCATCGGCTGGCGTGACGCGTTCTTTGGCCGTAGCACGCTTACGGAGCTCATCCACATCGCGTGCAGCATGCTCAAAGTCCTTGCGCTTAGAAGCAAGCTTCTTCATCTCTTCATCGGCTAGCAGGTCATCTCGATCAAGGTTAGGGTCCAAATTACGCGCTTTGAGCATATTTGAGGAGCTCTTTGTGCCCAGCATTCGATGCATTGGAGTCAAGATGGATGAAGACTTCTGTGTCGGCTGAGCAGCAGCTTGATCGGTGTTTCCAGAGACAGCACGGCTTGCAGCATTACCCGCAGCCTTGCGAGCGGCGGCCTTTTCAGCCTCAGTGTCGCTCGCAATGGCTGCATTGGAGGCTTTGCGACGTCCAAAGTCAAGAGATGGTCGAGTGCGAGCGTGGGCAGGTGATGGACTTGGAGGGGCGGCGCCGTTCCAGTTGGCAGACGCAGGCATCTTGGGTGGAGGCATACCACTGTGTTTTGGCGGTTGCGGCTGCTGTCTCGCGTCTTCGGTCTTGGGCCCTGGCTTTCGGAGTTGCGCGGATTGAGATGGGTGATTTGCGGCTTTGGACGATGCCCGTCTCCAACCGCTCAAGCTCAATTTGCGCCGCAGAGAGGAAGCAGATGATGGCGTTTCAGGCTCTGTTGACGTAGATGTCTGTACTGACTCTGAGGTATTTTTCTTCTGGAGAGGTCGTGGACCTGCAACCATGCTCTGCATCTCCACATCCTTGATTGGAGACTTGTATTCACCGCTTTTGCGTGGCTGCAAACGAGTGAATTCGCCACTTCCTTTTGGTAACGGGTTGGATGAAAACGGAGTGGTAGAAGCTTGTCTTGTTGGATTCAGGGTCGGAACAGGCATCATGTTGATGTTTGCTTGTGAATCAAGCGGTGACTCGGTCGCGCGCAAGTTGAATGCAGAGCTACTGCTACGCAGGTGTCTGTGGTATTCATCTTGGTAGTTGTGTCTTGAAAAGAAACTGGCCTTGGATGCTGTCATGGGCGTACTAGGTGTCTTGGTGACTTGACGCTTTGGCGGCGGCGTGACATTGCCCTGATCCGTATCATCTGCGGACGTAGGAAGAGACGACATACGATTGTTCAACGGGGTGCCGAGGGGTAGCAAGTTGAGGGGTGGGAGCCTGATTGGCTGCAGATTCTTCTTGCTGGATTGCTGTACCGTGGCCGCCTTGTCAGGTTCCGGGGTGTTCCCGACGGTCAATCCTCTCCTGTGCCTGAGAGACCCTGTGCTTGACTTCAAGAAGGGCGACTCTAGCGCGTCGTTCTGGCCAGAACTAGTTGACTGCGCCTCTGGTGTTGAGACAGATTCATGAGACATCGATTGAGGTGCACCCGACTTTGACGGCTGTGCTGAAAAGCCAAAGGTGCTTTGTTCGGGATCTTTGGGGGATTCGAAAGCTTTCGGGATGGCTGGCACAGGCGGAACCTCTTCTTGTTCTCCACCACCTGTATTTTGCTGGTTTCGCGGCTTTGGTGCAGGCAGGCGGAGACTAGACGGAGCGGGATTGGAGCGCAGGGGTATTGAAGAAGGAGGGCCGACCTTGAGCGAATTCAAGCTCGAATTAGACGAGAGTGAAACGCCAGAGGCATAAGACTTGCGTTTTTGCTCAGGTGTTGCGCGCGCCGACGAAGGTGTCATGCTGCCTCCTAACCTCATACCCGGAGATTGACTAAAAGCACGCTCGTCAAACGTTGCGTCACCCTGGGGGGTAGGGGGTCCAACCGGCCCTCCTGGAGGTTGATTAGGGTTTATCGACAATCTTCTCAGCCTCCGGGCATCGGTGGGGCTGATAGTCCTGGCCCCCAAACCAGATATGTGGGGTGCAGTGGATTGTCGCTTGTTGGCAGATGAGGAAGGCGTATGCGACCGTTGCGCAGCAGCACTTCTACCTGGTGAGCGAGTGGTGACCTGAGGCATGGCGCTTGGGTCTGGGGTCATGGACGAGACAGTTAGATGGCCCGACTGCTGTCTTGAAGGAGGCTGCAGAGACTTTGCTTTTGCGTTCCGCGTAGTGCTTGCAAGCTTTGGTACTCCCGAAGTGGTGTTATTTAGGGTTGGCATACCGGCCAGGTCATCGCGGTCGAAGTTGCTCGTTGGCATCATTCCAGGGCCAACACTCTTTCGCGGTGGCCGTGCAGCCGGATTGGGTGGCGCTTGTGAAGAGAACTGGCTCTGACGGCGTGTGCGAATCGTCATGTTGCTAGGGGGATGGGGCACCGCGGGCGTGTTGGAGCTAGAGGTAGACATGCCAGCGCTGACTTTTCTAGCGGCAGATTGGCTGAAGCGGCGGGCAAAGGAGCTGCTGCGTGCAGGGCGTGTTTCGGTGGGGATGCCAGTGAATGTGGGGATAGTGTTTGTATTATTGGTGTTGTTGCTAGGGGTGTTGTTGTTATTGTTATTGTGGTGGTGAGAGGTGGAAGCGGAGTTGTCAGCAGGTCCGCCGGTGGTCGTGAAGGAGCCGGGGGCAGGGAAGTCGCTCAGCGTGGGCTCGTAGGATAAGCTGTTTGCAAAATCGTCAAAGTTGACCGAGGGCAGAAAGTCGTAGGAAACGGGGCCATCGCGGGCCTCGTCCTTTGCAGAGTCGGGCTGCAGCTGCTTAGAGAAGCTGAAGCGTGGGTTCGAGGGGGGACCGCGCGTGGTAGGCTCGCAGCCAAGGGAGGGCACAAAGGAGGAGGAGCGTGCTTGGGCAGAAGCAGCAGCAGAGGGGGTAGAGGTAGTAGTAGCTGCACTCGTCATCCTGCATCGATTCACGCGTCAGTTAGCCGGCTACACAGATACAAGATACCACTACTATGGCATGGCGGTGGATGCCATGCCAACCGTGCGTCGAGTGCCTACCTTTGTTTGGAGAAGTCCTGAGGACGCTCGCGGGGGCCCAGCGGCACTCTAGCCCGCCCGCGCCCGGCAGCGGTGGTCATGTTGGGATTGGGGAGAGGGCGTGAGGAGGAGGAGCCGAGTGCATTGGAGGCGCTCGTCTTGCGCAGTCGGCTGCCCTGCTCACCCGTTTTTTGGAACTTGCGTACGCGGTCTTCTAGGGGGAGAGACGATAGGTGTTAGCATCATCGACGGACACACCTGGGGCTGAGTCTGGCTATGCTTTTTCTTACCTGACGAGCCACTAGAGTCATCCGACACGGTGGACCCTGAGCGTTCGGGCACGTCGGCGGAGGCGGAGGCCATGGTTCTAGTCGTGGTTCGCGGCTGCATCGACATGGTCCGCACCCCCAGCCCGATGGTGGGAGCTCGAGCAGTATGTGAGCTACTAGATGTGGGATGGGTTCAAAAAAAAGAAATTCAAAGACGAGGCTCTGTCTTGGAAATGCGCCGAAGTCGTCTCCAAGCGTCAAGCTTGGGCACCCAGGTCGACTATGCCGACATGTCTAAGAGACCGGCTACAGCGGTGAGGACGATGGGCGGGCCGGTAATGAGGGCTCAAGGCGGGCGTGGGAGGTCTCAGGGGAGCAATGGGCTTGGGCGCAGCAGAGACACCGCGCTGCAGAGACGGCAAGGAAAAAGGTCGTCGCAGCAGCGATGGTTGACAGTCGTCAAAGTCACAAAGAGGGTCGGCAGCCCACAAAGCCACACTAGGCCCAAGGGTTGTCTAGTTGACGAGGCCCCTGTCGGCCTGTCTATGGCGGGACGAGCAGCGAGTGGCACACTATCATCAAAACAACGCCCCTCTCCCAGGAAACCAACGCTCCGGCCAACGGCAGCCCGAGCTGGCCATGTCCCATGTGCGCGCACACAGACACAGACACACACACACATACATGGTACATGGCACATACATACATACATACCATACATTTGTGTATGAATATACTCACATGGAGTATATTAGACGGGAAATCTACTGCACGCCCAGCCAACCCCCTCGGCTCTACATGCCCTACCCACCGCACCCCCATGGCTGACCTGTCGTCTTGAATCAGGCGCCCGATTCCTGTGCGAGGTGCAAGACCCTTTTATGAGCCGCAAGGTTCCCCTCGAGGCTCCGCAGCGTTGTGTATCCCTGGCGGTCAGGAAATGCGACCGCCAACGTGCACGGGGCCCATGGGTGTGGGGAAGCCACCAGAACGAGTAAAGGTGACACGGCACACGCCCAGCCCAGAACACCGCCACCACGCCTCACATGCCATGTGCGTCATCTCCCACTGCAGTGCCACCAAACACCACACCCCACACTCTCCCCACTCCACGCTCTTGGGAACCACTGTGCACACCCGACGACGACAGCCTGGAGACTGGCACACAGTCGACGAGCGCGGGGAGAATGATGACACCCTGATGGCTTTGGTGCAACTGCAGAGCATCCATAATCCCGAGCAAACACTTGCACTTGCGCCCCAGCCCTGTCGCATGTGACACATACTCACCACCAAGCATCGTCCGCACCATCTCAACCGCCCAACATGGCGCACGGAAACGCAGAATCCCTCGCAAACCGCGACGCGCCCATTCCCGTGGTCCAAGTCCAGCATGCATCAAACAGCAGCACTCCCACGACCGACAAGCCCCCGTCGCACCGACTCTCCGCCAGCAAGCTCATGAACAAGCTCGAGTCCCTGGGCGACAACACGGCCCGCGATTCGGCGGGTAGGATGGGTGACAAGATGATGAACCTGTACGTACCCTCGATAGACAACGTCAGCATAAAGCGTATCCCGACAACAAGACTGACTCTGACCCGTCCAGACTGCTCTCACAGGTGCTCCCGTCCGAGGACCTCTCCGACAGCCCGCCCTCAGATTCACACTCGGCTCCGAACAGAAACACGCCTCAGGTCAAAGATCGCCGCTCCCGATCCTATGTCGCCCGGCCCAGCTTCAGCATCCCCACCATGTCGTCCAACTTCCGTCGCTTCAACTCGCGCATCGGTGTCGCCTTTGTCGCCCAAAACAGAGCCATACGTCTCTTTACCTGGGTAAAGCCTACTCAGACGCTATCCTTCCTCTTCGTCTGGACCTTCGTATGCGTAAATCCCTACCTACTGCCTGTCCTCCCGCTGGCATGTGGCATGTTCTTCGTCATGGTCCCCGCCTACCTCACTCGACACCCGGAGCCTACAAGCAACGCCATGGACGTGGACGGCAACTTGTGGAGGGGAAGCCTAGGGGGACCGCCGCTCGCAGATGCCACAACTATCAAGCCTGCACCCGAGTTCAGCAAGGACTTCTTCCGCAACTTGCGTGACTTGCAGAATTGCATGGACGATTTCAGCAACGTACACGACGCCGTACTGAGTTTCTTCACACCACTTACCAACTTTAGCAACGAAAACCTTTCTTCCATGATATACCTCATCTTACTCGTCGTCTCGGTCCTCTTATTCATCAGCGCGCACCTCCTTCCCTGGCGCGCCATCTTCCTCGTGCTTGGATACGCAGTCACAGCCCTCGGCCACCCAACCGTCCAAGACCTGCTCGCAACCCCTGAAACAGAAAAATTCGTAGCCGAAGTGGAAAACGAAAGTCGCTCCTTCCTGCTTTCCATTTCCCGCGCAGATATTGAGCTCGAAACCTCGCATGAGACGCGCGAGGTGGAAATTTTCGAGCTACAACATCGTGCGCTGCATGATGAGCATGGCGAATATGAAAGCTTCATGTTCTCCCCCTCGCCATATGCGCCATTATCGCCATCAAGGATAAGCGGCGACAGACCGCGCGGCACCCCCTTTTTCGAAGACGTGCTTCCGCCCCGGGGCTGGCGCTGGAGCGACAAGAAATGGTCGCTTGACCTACTCTCACGCGAATGGGTCGAAGACCGCTGTGTTACGGGCGTAGAAGTCGAAATCGAGGGTGAGCGCTGGGTTACGGATTTGCACTACGAGCTCCTCGAGACGGAGGAAGATAGAGCAGGCAGTGCACGGCTGAAGCTGAAGAAGAGGGAAGGGTCAAAGGGGGGAAGCATCGATTTTACAGAGCAAGAAAAGGAAATCCTGAGACGGACGTGGGAGGAGAATAAACCGAGTCGAAAGGGCGAGTGGAGACGACGGAGGTGGGTGAGGGGTGTGGAGAGGATTCCGTGGAAGCAAGGGTAGTAAGTAAGGTAACTGATGTAAAATAATCGAAACCACATATACTCTCTCCCTCATTCACACAGATAATCATTCCGTAAACGAAAAAAGAACAAACATTTTGACGCTCCAGAAAATGCAGTCTCGAAGAAGAAAAAAAGGTGTGTGTGTGGAGAATGGGAATCGATTCCAACCCCCCTTGATTTGCATTTCCCGCCAACGCCCGCCGCCGTTGAAACTCCCCCCTTCCAAGCAAGAGGGTAACCGAAGAAGAAAGACTCCAACTATACAGTATACATATCCACCCAGCAAATGACGCCGACGCCCTAGATTCCCATCACGCTCCCAAGCCGACTGCTAGCCCGCTCTCCTGTCCTCTGCCTCGTCCGTTGGCGCAGTCTCCTTGGTTAGGTAATCCGCATCCTCAGCCTCTTCGTACTCTGCAATTAGACCCTGTACCACTTCCTTTGCCTCGTCGAATTCGCCCAGGCCATCTTTGAAAGGTACTTCACGCTTGTAGCTTTCGAGGAAGGCATTGCGCTTGCGGAGGGTAGAGTACTGAGCTACGATGCGCTTGAAGAGTGTTGCGATGCCCGTGTGGTTTGCTAGCATGAGGCCAGAAACGCGGTGTGAAGACGTTACGTAGGGTGATTTTTTGGTTAGTGCGACTTGGATTGATGCTGGGCCCCATGGGATGAATGTTGCCAGGCGGCGTTCGCGGATACGCATGAGGGATTTGTGTACCTTGTTTTGCTGTTAGTGGGATTTTGTTCTCCAGGAAGCAAATAGCAGTTATCGACAACGTACATCTGAGGGATCGGCTTCGCCTTGGATAATGTTCAGAATGGACATGTAGCAGCTCTTCTTGGTGGGGTTGGTCGAGACCATGCGGTTCTTGGGTTGTAGCAGGCGCCTCATGACGTCCAAGACAGTCGTCTTACGAACGGTCTTCGCCTGCTCTACGTTCTCGCCCGAGAAGGGTGTGTAAGACGTCATCAAAAAGTGGCAGCGGGGGGTGGGGATGAGCGATGCGACGATACCGACCAGATCGTTGTGCATGTATCCAGGGTAACGAAGGGTGGTGGTGCTGGCAGACATGACGGTGGATACGAGCTGGTTTGTCTGTTCGAAAGAAGGGTTCATGACATGTAACCGGTCGGCAGCAATCCTGGTGAGGGCTCCATTGTCGAGGACAACCTGTGCAGTTAGCATACTGGTGCGCTGTGGTTGCTGGCTGCTCAATCTGCACTTACCACCGAGTCTGCATTCTGCGTCAGGCGCCTCATACTCAGCAAGCTGTTGTACGGCTGTACCACAATGTCGCCATCTTGAGTGTTTGGAAAGACACTGTACGTTTGTATGAGCTTCTTGGGGAACCGGTCATTCAGTCGTTCGAGCATGTATGATCCGAGACCAGAGCCAGTTCCGCCAGCGATTGAGTGCAGCATCATGAAGCCCTCGAGCGAGTCCGAGCCGTCGGCCTCGCGATCAATCATATCCAAAATATCCTCGTGGACCTGCTCGCCCATGCTGTATCCCATGCCCCAGTTGTTTCCCGCGCCAGTGCCATCTTTGTGGATATAAAAGTTCTCAGGGTTGTAGATGTTCTTGTACGGACTCGCCTGAATGGAATGCAGCACTCTGGGCTCGAGATCTAGCAAGATGGCGCGTGGAATATAACGCGTGTCGTCTGATTGGTAGAAGAAGACGTCTTTGCGGTCGCCGCCCTCTGTCGCAAAGTCCTCGAGGTTTCCGTCTTTATTGATGCCGTGTTCCTGGCAGAGCTGCTGCCAGAACTGCTGTCCGACGCTGTTGCCGCACTGGCCAGCCTGTAATGTTATGATTTCCCTGGTCCAAGTCAGCCACAGCTTGCGCGGTTTCTCCTGGTGCGTCTGCGGGCGTACCTGGGCATGGTTATGTTGGTCAACAGTGTCGTGGCTTGCAAACGCGCCCTCGGCGGGGTCCACGCGTCGGGTCGCTAAATGTTTGGACCCTACCGTCATGGCCCCAGAGTACATGGAGCATGTCACTCGCTTCACCATCATCACTGCGACCACAGACCCACAAGGAATGATAACAATAATAATTGCAGCACGTTTTTATTACTAGATGTTGACTCATCATCTTCATTGCTCTTCTTCCTCCTTCATCTTGACCGGCGACTTCTCTTGAAATCCAAACCTCAACTGGAATAAGAGGGTATAGATCAGACAAAAGAAATTGACCCGCAGCACATCTAACCATGTTATCACCGACACGCCATCCTTCACACCCTCATGCCATGAGTCCCGGACTTGTACAAACAACTTCGGGTCATCTGTCACCACACCGTCCAATCCATGTCGGATGTTCCATCGCATCTGGCTCTCCTCGTTCACCGTCCACGCATACACTGGCCGGCCGTCGCTTTGTGCTTTTCGTATGAACAGCCTGCCCCACGGCGTCATGAGGACAGCCTGTGCCATGTTGAAAGAGACATTTGGCACTGTGAAGAAATATGACGCAATAAGCGTCGAGAAGCCAATATGGGAGATTGGGAAGCCGGGAAGATATCGCGAACACAGCGGAAGGTACTTTGCTGCCCAGCATCCCAGAACGATGCGGCTCTGCCATGGTCGCGATGGCAAGGGTGGCACACTCCGGATTGTGTCACCAATCAGGCGCATTACATCGTCTGCATCGTTATCCAACTGCCTTTTGTTAGCTCTCGACTATGCAAAGTAGCACCGACTACAAACCTTAATGTCAAGTAATACCCAGATATTCTCCAACCCGGGTTGTGCGAGATACTCGAGTAGATCTGAAAGGCGAGGCATTGGCTCGTGTGGCTCTTTCAATGTTCTCAGTTTACTTATAAACTCATAGTCACAGTCTATGATCTTCTCATCCCTGCCAAAACATCTCTTGAGATCTTTGTCCTGTCGAGTATCAGTCCACGATCAAATATGGCTAGATCTAGAAACTCACATGGGATAATACAACGACACCATCTCTAGTCAAGTGTAAGTCGGTTTCTAAGCCATCGGCTCCAACTTCAACTGCACCCTTGAAGGCGCCCAAGGTATTCTCGGCGAACTTGGCCTTGTATCCTCGATGTGCAATGGCCTGTGGCTTTCGCCTTCCAGATACATCCTTACGTGCAAAACCAAAAGTAGCTAGATAAAAGGTCATTACATGTCTCAAGCGCTATGGGTACAGAGAGGCCTTTTACCTGGGGGAAACTTAGCCTTGGGTCCAAGTAGTGGCTGCTCGACAATCTTGCCCAGCTCTCGTGTGAGCCCCTCAAATACTGGTGGTACTCCGACAACCATGTTGTCGGGATGTGATGATGGTGGTACGTCGAGCGAGTTGCCGACGTCGGCCTCTTCCCCAGACATGACGAAGTCGCTCCCTTAGCCTATCCAATAGCCTGACGGTACCGCAAGCGCGCGAAGCGGAGATTTCGGCGTTAAGGCAGCAAGGTGATGGTACCTATGGTCAGATACAAACTGGATGAAGTTGCGCCCGCGTAGAATAACAAAGCAATCTATGTTCCAAAAAATTAGACAAAACTCCTATCTCACTCTCAAAAACCGGACTTCAAACTAAGAATCCGACGGCGCGGGCAACGTTAGAGAGAGAGAAGGAAAAGAAGGAAAAAACAAAAGATCCCTTAGCATCATACCGCCGAGCAGCAAGTACGCTACGCAAAAAAGCCCACACCCAGCCATGCGGGTCACTTTCTCTCTTTCCCTTCTAAACCCTCCTTCTCCCCGGGACGTGTTCCCAAAGTGTATTAAAACCACGGGCCCCATCCTACCGCAACAGGTATGGATTGGCTGGATAAGGCCCCAAGGCTAGCGCTCGTTTCCAAAGATTGATCGTTGCGGTGGAATGGGGTAGGTTGGCGCTCGGATGTATCAGGTCCCGGCGGCGGCACAACAGTTGTCGTTGCAGGAGTAGCACGCCGTCACGGCACGAGACGTGTCAGATGCTGCAACATGCGCGATGCTCTGAGTCATTTCGCTCTTCTAAGATACGAATTTCCTGTTCTCCTGAGTGCAGCGATGGGTGTGCTGTGGAAAAGTTCCATTCCTTCGCGTTGTGGCAGCAAAGCGTTTCTACACGCAGTACCAGCAACACTAAGTAGACCCTCTCCCCTCTTTCCCACGTGCATTACACAAAAATCCACCCTCCCCCCTTCCACACCTCACAAAATCCGGTGCGCTGGATACGATCTATCGCTTAAACCCGTGTGGCGCGTCGATCAGATTTATCCTGGCGCGCTTGGACTCCCTGTCATCAAACACCCACACACACTTTACCCACCCTTCCATCTTTCCCGTGAAGAAGCGCCGCCACCACTGTCGCCCGCCCCCTTCAAATGACAGCAAAGACGCATGTCATCCGGCGTCACGCCAGCTGACCGCCCCAACTTGGGAGTTGTGCATTCCCGCCCCAGTCTGTGCAGCTTGGGGGTGTCCAACGGGAAGGTGGCGCCTAGGGTCTCTGGTTCGGATGCGGTAACATGCGGTGCGGGCTGTGTGCTTTGTGACGTCCGGAAAGACAGGTTGCCGGGGAGGGCGGGGAATAGGGATTGGGAAAACTCTGGAAAAATAAAGGTGATGATCGAAATGCATCTCCGAATGCTTTGCCATACGAGGTAGCGTGCTTGTAGGTATAAAGCCGGTGTATCAAAGATGAGGTCGTTTTGAGTTGTAGAGGGCACGAGGTCTACGCCATAGGAACCTCCGCTGGCCATGTATGTCACCGGCTCAATACCCTGTGCCCCACATACATGCCTATCCATACACTAGATAGATTCTTCATTCGTAGTAACCCGGCCAATGTTTACTAGTTTACATTGCCAGCTTATCATCTATTGGATATCTCCCTACAGGTTGTTCATCAATCAATCGTAAGCTATCGCTCTCGTTTCTACTCCTCCATCCCGCTTCTACGAAACAGGTTCAAACTGCGGAGTGTACTTGGCAGCCGCCTTGGCAAACTCATCCTTCTTGCTAGCCCAGTCTGCTATGGCTCGGTGTTGTGGGGCTACGGATTGAAGTTGTGTCTTCATCTTTTCTGTTTCATCCTTCTTGCCTAGAAGTGTGTTGAGGACAATGAGGTTGGCGATTGTGTCGGCAGAGGTACCGTCAATGGAAATGGCTTGTTGTAAAGCGGCTTCAGCTTCGGGCAGGCGGCCAAGATGTAGTTCTGACACTGCTTGCGCGACGAGAGAGTGAGGAGAGGTTGATTGCGCGGTTGTAGCTAGTTCTTCGAAGACGTAGAACGCCGACTGGTATTTCTCACCACCCTAAACTAATATTAGTGTCTTGTCCAAAAGCGATTGGTTACGTAGTGGGGTGGGAATGAGTGGATTACGAACCTCGCGCATGCCAACCCAACTCTCAGCAATGTTGACCAGCAGGCTATCCTGCGCCCATTTCCGTGCGCGCTGTGCTTCCTTGGCGGCAAGATCGGTGCGGTTCTGTTGGAGGTGGATTTGGACAATGAGCGCTACCCTATTCAAACGTCAGCCATTCTGCTTCAATTCTTGCGCCAGGTCTGGCGTATTCGGGCTGCCGTACGCATCCAAGCTGCCTTGGTGCTTGCTCAAGAGTTCCAGTGCAGCCTCCGTCTCTCCTGCCCTCTCCAGGATTATGCCCACACAAAGCTGCACAGCCAGGTTCTCCTGTCCACTCTGCTCCGCCAACTTCTTTGCCTGACTGAGAACATCTTTGCCTTGTTCGTAGTCTGCTAGCAACTTTACTGCGACGAGATCGGGTGTCTTCTCGGATGCGAGTTCGCTAGAAACGGATTCTGCCTGGCCGAGAGCAATTTGGCTGCGAAGCTTTAGGACACGGACGGGAAGCGCATTGGAGGCCGAAAAGGATGAGGTGTCGAAATCGAGAACTTGTTGGTAGGCCCCGGCGTGGAAGGCCGAGTGGATGTTGATGAGCTCTGAGGTGCGTTAGTGGGGTTATATGATAATATGGTACGAGGCGCAAGATAACACCCACCTCCTTCTGGGGAATAGGGGTCCATGATTGCGGTGTGCAGAGGTATGCTGTAGCAATGGACCCACGATTGAAGATGCAATCGTGGTGTTGAAGCCAGATTGAGTTTGGGCTGTTTGCTCGGACCATACGAGCCGCTCATTGGCTGGCCCAGCCAACACACCTTGACTTTGTAGAACTGGTCTACAGTAAGGTTGTTTGGGTGAAGGTAGCAGAGCAATAATAAGTCAAAAGCTATACTCGCTTGTTCGAATATATATTTGAGCACTTAACATTCATGAGCTTCAAAGAATTCGTCGGAAATCAAGCCTTGTTACCATTCTCATGTGTAAATGCAAAGCCTCACAGAAACAGACCCCACATCCTTCCGATATATATTTGTGAGAAGTTAATGCCATCCCTACGTACCCATGTAGTACTCTTGCTCTTGTACGTGATTGATCGATTTGAGTATGTGGTGTGAGAAGTCGCAGTGGCAGCCGCGACTTGGTCTTGGCGGGGCCTGTCCCACGCATCTCAACTTACCGAGGGTATTTTCTTCAGGAATGTTCTATGTTTTGAGATTATAGTATACATATTTTCACTAATATGGTACATACGACCAGAGGAAACTGAGAATTAGGCATCCCGTCCGATCTGCCCTATACAAGCAGTTTACCGGCGGATTAGTAGTTAGGTGGGTGACCACTAGCGAATCCCCGCTGTCGTATGTTTTTGTTTTGCATCTCTATTTTTTGCTCAATCTGCGGTCACGTGGCGCGTTGATTTGGATTGCTATCATAAAACCATTTCTTTAGGTATGTATCTGTCTTAGACTCTTCGAACGGTAAATGTCATGAATCTTGTCCCAGCAGGCACAAGCCTGGTCTTCATCCTCTTAGACAAATCTTCTTCGCCAAGTACAGCATCAACTTTCCATTTAGTCCCAGTCTGCTCGCCAACGTGCTTCCACATATCCTTCCATGACTCGGTGTTGTGCCAGAAAGCAGTCTGATCCTTCATGACATGTGAGAAGGTGCCCGCTTTGGGCTGACCTCCTTGCCGCCCAACGATCAGAGCGTTGGGCACTGGTTTCAATAGCTGAACAACGCGTTTTGCTGCCTTGAACTGGTCGTCCCAGTCAAAAAGATGGAAGAAAGCAGCCGCGTTGATGATGTCAATCTTGCCATCCAGCTGCTTCAGTTGAGAGTCGGCGTCAAAGATGTCGGCTTCAAGAAACTGCGTCTTTAGAGTCGATTTGTCGAGGAACATGTCGTAGCCAAGGTCCCAAAAGGTCTTCTTGAGATCCGACGCATATGTGTTTGTTGACGGGACACCATCATGAACCAGTTTGCGAATGTCCTGGCCCATGCAGCATCCGAGGTCGAGAAGTTGCTCTCCATCCTTGATACGCCTGACGACTTCCTGGTAAGCCGGTCCTACTCCGATTGAGAAGTTGAGGAAGCCCCAATTGCCTAAACATGGGTAAGGAAACTACATGACAATGTTAGCGAGGCTATACTACTATACGTAGTAAGACCAGCTCACTATCTTGAAAGCTTCATCCCTAACATGCTTAATATGCGCTACGACGCCAGTCGAGGGTACCTTGCTATAGTTCTCAAACAGGTCCCTGACGGCAGGTTTGGGCTCTTCGATATCTTTCGTATACCACGGTAGTAGTTCGGGATTATCGACATAAGCTTTGGTCGCAATAATCTGCTCGACCGCACTGCGCTCCTCCTGAGTGGCGTTTCTGCCTGAGGCTTGCTCAGACATTTTCTATTTGGTCAATTTGTTTGCGCAGATGACAGCCCGATTAATGTATTCTGTTCAATGCCCGGTATCCCTCTCTTTATGTATATGTCGATTGCAACTGTCTACGCCACCCTGATTATCAGACATTCGCGCTTGCGGCGCCCTCTACATCACGTCGGCTCCGTGATCAATCCGATGGTCCGCAACATTGCTGCCTGCTCATAAACATACTCTCAAACTGCATTGTGACGCACAGTCGATCGCTTAGTATCAAGTAAACATACATGGAAAAAGATGACCGGGGAAATAGGGCTTTGGGCGGCTGGACCTACCCAGTAGCAAGGTGGGGGATGGCGGGGCAATTCCGCCCGCAACCAGTGACGTGCATCGATCTAGAAAATTGTGCCCAACCAACACAAACACTGGGAAAACTCAAAACTCGGCCAAACTGAAGCTCCCCATATATACCCGTTGGTGGCTCCGTCAATCCTCTATCTCTTTCCGCATTCGCTACTCCAGGTCCATCCCACCTCTCATACACATCCGTCTCGCCTCTACGCATACTCTTCTTAACAAAATGCCTTCCATCGAGCACCCCACCATCAAGGGTAAGACGGCATACTTTTTCTTTTGCGGGATAGAAGCCAGCTGCTCGCTGCGCGCGTTATTAGTATAGAGAAGCAGTAGCTAACTCACGACCCTAGATGGCTGGTTCCGTGAGATTTCCGGCATGTGGCCCGGTCAGGCCATGACGCTCCAGGTCAAGGAAGTTCTTCACCACGAGAAGAGCCAGTACCAGGACGTTCTCATCTTCGAATCGACCGACTACGGCACCGTTCTCGTCCTCGACAACGTCATTCAGTGCACCGAGCGCGATGAATTCTCGTATGTTGCATCGTACACGATGGCATGCATGCACATTGGCTGATGGCACCATAGCTACCAGGAGATGATCACCCACCTCGCCATGAACTCCCACCCCAACCCCGAGAAGGTTTTGGTTATTGGCGGTGGTGATGGTGGTGTGCTCCGTGAGGTTGTCAAGCACGACTGCGTTAAGGAGGCTGTCCTCTGTGACATTGACGAAGCTGTCATCCGCCTCTCTAAGCAGTACCTGCCTGGCATGTCCGTCGGTTTCGAGCACCCCAAGACCACCACCATCGTTGGCGATGGCTTCAAGTTCCTCGAGGACAAGAAGGGCGAATTCGACGTCATCATCACCGACTCCAGTGACCCAGAGGGTCCCGCTGAGGCTCTGTTCCAGAAGGCATACTTTGAACTCCTCAACGGAGCGCTCCGCGAAGGCGGTGTCATTACCACGCAAGGTTGTAAGCCCTCTCTCAACCCATTAATCTATTCCCACCTTTTTTCAGCGACTTCAATGTGCCGAACAGGTGTTTTTTATGGCCGGCGGCTAATGTTGTGACAATGCAGCTGAGAACCAATGGCTCCACATGCCCCTTATCGTCAACCTCAAGAAGGCTTGCAAGGAAGTCTTCCCCAACGTCGAGTATGCGTACACTACCATCCCCACCTACCCATCCGGCCAGATTGGCTTCATGGTCTGCAGCAAGGACGCCAACCTCAACCTCAAGAAGCCTCTCCGCAGCTGGTCTGCTGAAGAGGAGGAGTCGCTGTGCAGGTACTACAGCAAGGAGATTCACGAGGCGGCCTTTGTTCTGCCTACCTTTGCTCGCAAGGCTCTCCGATAGGCGCCTCACCTGCATTTTTTCCTTTAGTTACGACTTCACTAGATACCACGACATGTCAATGGCTATAAGAAGACTGCAAGGTCATGCACATCTGTACACACAAAAAGTCTTCAGAATTTCAGCAACTTTTTCGCATTACGCACAGGCTAGACTCTAGAACAACCGTCGAGGTTGATCAAGAGGCCAAAATATACAATATTTAGCTGCAGCGCCATGCTTTGATATCCCTTACTACCTCCTGAATTTGACCCTATGACTATGGTTCACTTGCCAATATCATCTGACACGCAAGGGATGTACCGTCAGCAATATATTGACTGTATGTATTACAAGCGCTTCACAAGGCTACTGTCGTCTGCCAGTGTGTAGTGGTAATCTTATCTTCTCTCCCCAGAAGCGCTGGGAAAAAATGACAGGACGTAAAGGTGCGCGCATTCAGGTCGACGTTCAGCCAGTAAGATGCATGTGTTTCAGCACGCAGCGTCAGGTAGAGAGCCGGCAACTAGAGGCAAATGCCGCGGGCGGGCGCTGCAACACCACGGGCTGCAAACATGAGCCCATTGTGCTCTCTACTATACGCGACATGTACCACGACTGGCCATATGAGGTGTATGAAGTGTGTGGGCCGTCGGTCTTGACGGCAAGCAGGTTCATGCCGTATCCTTCCGCTTGATCAAGTTGTTGCGAAACTCGGCTTATAGTAAGGAGTGAGCAGTCTGGCCCAAACTGTCCCTGTACCAGAAGTCGATCTGCATCAAGGTGGTCCATTATAGATAGGAGTAAGCTAGTCTACATCTGGGACACTGCGTCCATGGAGAAACTCCTTTGTTGTGCGGCAGCGCAACCTGGCATGTTTGCCTGAAAGCGTTTGCTCTGAACAATACGATGGGAATGACCCGAAGCATGGCGGTCAAGTGTGGATCAAACCCAGAGGGTGTCGCTATGAGCCGATAACCGGGACAACCATGTATATGCGCGAGGCCTCGCTCACCAAATGATTTTTCTCAGTGCTCTCGAAGGATTCTTGACAGTTGAGAGGCATGGCCGTCTGGTGGAGCGTGCCTAATGAGACAGGTTCACAGCTGATTCTGGGCCGCCTGAGGCACGAAGGGTTGTGTGTCAAAGTTGTGGTTGGAATATGGTCTTGTTCTATGTTTGGTAGAATGTCCGAAGGGGCCCCACGAGTTTTGTGACGCGCGAAGTGTCACAACGACCCGGCGGGTTAGCCGCAACATAGTGACGGTAACTTTGTTTGAGGCTGGCGTGTGGGACCGTAGTGTGGCTTTGCTTCAGAATGGCGATGGCAGCGATGTTGTGCAGACGTCAAATCAATATAGAACGTCTTGCATCGTGCCTAATAGCTGCCTCAACCTGCACTACAGCTTTTTTTCTGTATTGCGCGCTCGCTTTTCTGCCACGCGGCTTCTCGTCTTGTCGCGTGCCCTTCTCCCACTCTCTTCTTTTCCCCTCTTCTTTTTTCGCTTCTTACTTTTATTGGTCGAGCCGGACTCTTCCTTCACCATTGTCAATATCTCCATCTCTTGCAACCAAGCAGCCAGGACCAACACAATTCACGCCCATGCAGTAGC